TGTTTTGTCAAAAATCTGTTTCTGGTAATATATTTCCTTCAAAATTGCATTGCTGGCAACAACCCCTTTCAAAAAAGTATTGCTGGTAATAGTTAACTATTTGCCCATATCTGGGACCCTAACAGGTGCTACCACCCCAGGTCAGGGTGAACCTGGGAACACCAGCAATTAAAAGGTAGTTCCATGCTCCTCAAAACCTCCTGATCAGAGGCCTTGCTGCTGGACTAGTTTAACGTCTTACCCAGGACACGGATGTAGTTTAACATCTTACCCAGGACGCAGATGTAGTTTAACGTCTTACCCAGGACGAGAGAGAGAGAGAGATAGAGAGAGTGACACAGTGTGGCCATAGGTATTAATACTGCATAATGACAGTTATTTTCATACTTAAATGCAATTTTCAAACCACTACTATTGACATGACTCATTTAATATGATGTATATATAGCAAGTTGTGTATGTGTGGGTCTCAAAGGGATTAAGGGAAGAGGAAACAGACTCTTTTCAGTTTCTTTTTTGCTGAGAGTTAATTTAGGGTCATGATTTCCACTTTGTTTATTTATGATGCTTGGTAGATTTATTTATAATCATCTAGATGACTATATATATGCTCCCATTCATCAGTTGAACACTTTAGAAGAAAGGGTATTTGACTGCTGCTGCTAAGCTCTTCACAATGACTAGAGCACTCTGGCAGCTGATAATGCTTATATCATATATATAATGTGTTAAAATAGGAGTAGAGTCTCCGACTGATGTCAAATCAGTCGAGTTCCAATCCTAACTTGAAGCAATTGAAGTGCAGTCTGCTGTGGATGACTATATATATATATATATATATATATATATATATATATATATATATATATGTATGTATATATATATATATAATAAATGTGAATGTCAGTGTGTCAATTTTTCAATTAAAGGAAAACAACTCTTTAACTTTCAATAGCTCATGTCACAGAAATTTTGGATTCTCAAGTTTTCAGTACTGCTATTGTTTTCCCCAATTTTTTACATGATTTTTTGCAACAAATTTTTTTTACTATAACAATTTTTATAAGAAGGAAATAAATTTGGAAATAATTGAAATTAATTGCAAAATACAGTGAAATTCACCCATGAAATAAAAATGATTGTTTGTACAGAAAGTAAGAACTTACATACATCAAATTGTCTTTAAATTAGCAGCAGAAGAATTATCATTGAACATTTAAAAGGTAAGCTTATATATTAATACAGTAGTTAAATTCAACAATCAATTTTGAGTTTTTCTGTAGTTTATTGTTGCCTATTGCATACAGCCTCACAAAAAGAAATCTTTGTCAACAGGGGACCAGATTGCAATCAAAAGAGCCAAGTCCCATGCAAATAAAAACCCAGATCAAATGGTAGCTAGGAGAGCTTCCAATGCTGAGAATATACAAAGACTTAAGGACTCTCAAACTCCTGAACAAGCTGAATGCTCAATCAAGAGCACTCCACAGGGGCTAACTTAAATGGTACCCAATAGGGTGGCTTTTAATTAGCCCTGACTTATTGATTGTATATATATATATATATATATATATATATATATATATATATATATATATATATATACGATGGAGTCTTTGCATTTTGAGACATCATGTCAAAGACTTACTATATATTTTAATATATATATATATTATATATATTATATATTAAAATGTTTGTACAGTCTGTTTTTGCTTATGCAATCTAACATCATAAGCAGACGTTGAATGGATATATGCAAGATAACTAGCATTTTCAGGGAAACATTTGCAAGACCTGGGTCTTTTTTAATTGAATTAAAGTTTGACAATTGATTGATTGGTGTATAAAGGTGGCGGGTGAAATGAAATACCAAGGGAAGTTCACTCCAGATGCTGTGAGATCCAATAGTTATCAGGGCAGATCAATCCAGTACATAGGAGAGTTTTGGAAATATAGTTAATTTCATGAGACCCTTTTTAATCACCAGGTCTCTAACCATGTCCTGCCCAACACGGTTTTTGAATATCAATAAATACAAGAATCAAGCAACAAGCAGCTGAGCAGATGAAACAATCTCATGTGACTGCCTGCCTGAAGAGAACCTTGACATGCCTCACCAAACTTAACAAAGCCAGATTACGTTTAACCATGAATATGGTTGCATGAAAACAGTACACAGTTAATAGATAAAGAAAATGATTCAAAAGACTTGGCCTTTCAAGTCAAAACTCACATGGGGATACATCTATGATCATCCATGGTTATTATGGATGATAACAATCTCTACCAACAGCAAAAATAATAAAATCTGATCATACATCAATGCTTTATTTTTGATTTTTACAAACAAAAAATTTGGATTACAGAGGGGGAGATTTTATGTCAAATCTTTCCTTTCAAAATATTTTATCAAACTATACTTATTTGATAATGCCCACTTATATTTAACTATGCTGATTTACTTGACCTAGTAGATTAAACAAATTGAAACAATAGAATTTACATATAAATGTAAGAACACAATTATATATATACATGTTAACAACAGTTTAAAACTCGGTGTACACTGAAAAATCAACCAACAAAAACGACCTAATAAATTTCTATTCTCACCGTAAGAACAAAATAAAATCAGGCATAATCATCAGATTCTTCTTAAGAGCACTCAAAATATGCAGCCAGATTATTTACACAAAGAGGAGAAATACATTGAAAACACTTTCAAACTTCTCCAGTACCCTAATTATTTTATATTCAATGCAAAACAAAAGGCCCATAAAATATTCCAAAACAAAAAAATGGCCACTCCTGAAAACCCCAATGAATCAAAAAATAAATTTTCTTTTCAACTAACTTTATCACATCAACAAGAATCTATCTAAACACAACATAAAATTTATTACTACTACATCCAAAACAATAAAAGACTTAGTCAATACTAAACAAAACAATAAGCTAAAACTTGGAGGAATTTACTCAATAGCTTGTAAACAAGAAACAACACTGCCCAATTTTTCTAAAATTCAAAATCGGTTTAACTGAATCCTTTTCTTTGCTAACCACATTTATATTTCTTTTAAGAGAATCAGGGTTTACGACTTTACAACATAAAAATAGAAGGATTCGATGGGTTCATCAATCTTCCTTTTTGTCATGTGGCATGTTTTTATACTGTATCCACACCAAAAAGGATTTAATGGAACTAATTTTGAATCTTAGAAAAATTGAGGATGCAAGCATTATTTTTTATGTGTGTATATGAATGTATAGCCACCCCACCTTTACATACAAAAACTTTGCCTTAAAAATATAAATAACAATTTTAAATTTTACCACAATTACTAAAAGTTTATTTATTATATTAATTGACTTCCACTAATTACCAAACTCTGCCACATGAATTTAATCATGCAACAAAATAGAAACTTTTCTATTCTCCAAATTGGGTAGTTTGAGCTTTGAATGTAAGATGGGCTATAATAATCTGTTGAAAGAAGTTGTGATGGACTGTGGGAAAATTAAATAAAATCAATAAATAAATGAATAATAAAGAATAAAAGAAATGTATTTTCCCATAATGCTAAGAGTAAAGTGACCAGAAATATGATTACCTCACTTGGTTTTGTCATATGTCGTTAGGTGGCAATGTTGAAGTTAATAAAAAGATAAACATTTCCTGACTCGCTCTCTTTCTCCTTTTTGCTCCAATATCTAGAGTCACACAGTAATTATGTTCCCACTGGGGAATGTTAGTTACCCCAGTCTAATGTCAACTGAACTTTCTTTCCACTTTTGAATACAGGGAGGATGAGTTGAGTTGTGACTTATGGGGGCAACAGCCTTTGGCGAGCTGTCTCTTGGAGATGGTACAAGATGCCATTCAACTGCCAAAAATGTCCCTTTGATGGGCTTTCATGCCCTTTCTTAGGCTCAAATCAGCTCCAGTTTTTATTTTGTTTCTTTATGCAGGAGTGGGTGCTATTGGATGGAAATTCTGGATTCTATTGCTTATTTTTTCTTTGAGCATGTGAGTAAAAATGGATATGTGAAGAGCCTTACACAGTTAATGGAAATTTTAGTTCAGTTTTTTTGGCTGTTCAGAATGTTCACAACCGACCAGTGGTGGAAATTAGTGTAGTGTAGCATGAATAAGAAGATCTGGTTTTAAGAAGAATGTAACATTACTTTACAGTCACTAACTCCTGGGCCAAAAAGAAAACGGACATACCCAAGAGACATTAAGAACTTTGTTTCACTACAGTCACCATAAAAAAGAATAAACGCCCGTGATTGAAACTCAAGTTTTATGCTTCTTCTTTGAAAACACGCATGCACAAAAACTATACACAAACACTTTAAAAAAACATAGTACCAACAAACGTTTTCCATAGTCATCATTACACTGAGTACAGTTTTAATGAGTGATGTAAATATTTTAATAAGTGATGTAAATATCTAATTTATTATACACGAAGTTGACGTGGATCTGTACAAATTTCATTTCAGACAATGTTGCATGATTTTTCTCCCTTTCAATCGCAGACTCGTTTGTCGTCTGCTTTCACTGTCCTGAAAGAAAATCTTAATACATGGCTTTCAAATCTTTAAGAATTATAAGTGTGACCAAAATAAATTATTATAAATAATAACAAAAATTTATTTTCGGTTTACAATTTTTATTCTTTAATTATTAATTCTAAAGCTTTATCAGTTAAAATTTGTTATAAATTACCAATGTAGGTTCTGTAAGGTGCACCCTGATTGGCTTATGCTGATACACTTTGTGTCGTGACGTAAGTATCAATGGGCGAATCAGATGTAATCTTACAATTCTTACTAATACGAATGGTTTGTTTTAAAATGGCGTTTGCCCGGCAACAAAACCAATTTATCCAAACACAGCAACAGCCTTGGCCGCTCCTCACCCTTACCTTGAAGTGTAAAGCAGGTTTTTGTGATACCGTTCAGGTATCTGAAAACTACCTTGTAATAATACCATGGAAGACAATGACGAGGCTATGACGACCAAAATATTTGGAGTCGATGATTTACAACAGGAAGATGGGACAGGGAATTCGATGTGAGTAACTTAGTTAAAGAAAGACTAAAGAAGAAATCTATAAAAGAAAAAGTAATTGATTTCTGGCGAAGTAGAAACTTAATCTTTTTTATTTGTTTGAAATGATACAAATGTTTTTGTCATTAAAGTGATATGTTTTAAAAGTTACTTATCAACTTGTTTTGGTAGTTCTTCTTGTGTATTGTCGATAGCATAAAAAATATGAAAGAAAAAGCTGTTTCTTATGAAGACTAAGAATAATTGACATAGGATTCTACGAATAATAACGGAAGACCAGCTTACTGTGTCATATCTTAACCTGAACCTTATCTAACCTGTCTTAACTTCGATCTTTCGATATTTGCTTTGAAAGTAACTTTGCAAAAAAAAAAAAGTCAAATTTGTACTATTTTCGTTCATTTCTTATTCCGATGTCGAATTGTTTTAAACTGAAGAAACTAATTCAGCTTTATAAATTTGGATCGATCGTGATTCCGATATAATTGTGCATACATTACATTACGAGAATTTGTGCTGGCTTTATTACTTAATTTCCTGTTAAGTTTTTACGCTACATTCTTTCTTGTGTGTGTTTTTTTAAAAAAAAGTTTTATTCAGCTGTAAAAATAAAATAAAAAAGTAATCTGCTTATTTACGACCTTCTCTACTATACTTTTTTTTAGTCACCGAATTTCTCTCTCTTCTCTCACTTAATTTGAAAAATGACTAACCTTCTTGGTCATTTAATAACAAGCTTAGAATTTTTTTTATCCCTGCTTGTTTTCCCTTCAAAGTTCAAACTATTCTCTCCCTCCCACCTCTTGTGAAGCGCCTTTTCACACAAATCTACCCTTTAATTACTTTTTTGTTGCAAATACCTCTTTTCTTCGATACACATGCTTCGGACAGGTGTGTTCAGGTGGTTTGTATGATTTCAGTTGACTTGCTGTTTGCTTCTCTAGTCAGTGAAACAAACCATTTGATTAGGGTTCAATTGAAATCTTACGACAGATATTCTCATACTTGTGTAAACATGTTTTCGAAGACTTGCTCCGTTTTTATGTCTTTTGTGGATTTCGTTGCTTATTAAGACCTTCAGGTTTAAGCTTAAATATTTTAGTTTTACTTTCATTGTTTTCAAAATATTACTTTATTTCTTAATGTTTTAACGCGATATGGTTGCTTCTGTCTGTTGCAAATCATTTCACGCCTTTGAAAAATCAGAAAAAAGATGATTTAAATCGAAAACATTTGAAATGCTAAAGTTAGGACTACTTCTCGGCTAAAAATATACATCTGCATCTAAAAATATATGTTTCATTAGTAAATTATCTCAACTGGGTTTAAATGTTTTTAATTAAAAGCTTAATCAAAGGCTTATGGGAAGAGAAATTGGGCTTAATAGTGGCCAAAAAGGATTTTTGTTTTTAACTTTGTGTCCAAATTAATAACGTTTGCTGGTTTTTTATTAAACAGGAAATTTTCTTTTTATTTACATTCTTGACTGATTACGGTAACTTAATGATTTCTCTCGTGAACTCCAAGTTAAACAAGAACAAGAGTCTATCGTCGTCTGTTTTAGTGACTAGTGACATTCATTAAATTTAAATATAGCTTCTTTTTTTTTTTTTTTTTTTTTTTGTCATATGAATTTCTTTGAATGACAATGTATTTTCCTTTGGTCTCTAGCTCTAAAAAAATAAAAAAAAAGATTAATAATTGGTTATTAAAAGTGAAATGGAAGAACTATCAGGTTTTAAAGGTAAAATACAAACTGTATTTTTTTTTTTTTTTGTTAATGTGATGCTAGTTTAAAATGTCATTGCCGTGAATTTTTATTATGTACAGAATTAACTAGTCAATCAATACGTATTACCTTGAATTAAATCTCCTTATTAGTTCATCATAGTCATATTGATTATTGGGGTGAAGTGAAAGATTATCTATTAATCTGCTCAGGTGAGAAATTTCACTGGGACTGTTCTATACAATATCACTTGTTTATTATTTCCATTTTTCGCTGATTATATATATATATATATATATATATATATATATATATATATATATATATATAGAAGTTAGTCAATACTTCTATCGGGATTTTTTTTTACATTCTCTTAAAAATAAAATAAAAAAAAAAAAAAAAAAAAACATTTCAGTTTCTCTCCCCTCCCCCGTGGGTGGGGATCTCAAAGATGGTTTATTTTTTGTACATACTCTGTAATTTCCTCTTAAAAGTACCCTTTCTAAGTAACTTTTCGGCTTAAATTCCATTGCTTTAAAATTAATTGTTGGAAATTGTCGCTTGTTTACAATTTCTTATTTTTATTTTTTATCCAGCTCTTCGAATCTGGCAATGGTGTTTTCTAAATTGCCTGAACTGTTAGCTCAGACTAAATATCAACTGGATTCCATCTCCACATCCTCCAATCATCACATGGCTACTGCTGTAGCCGCTTCTACTGAGCATTATATCTCCTGCATCAAGATCAATGGTGTTCCCATCTTACCACCTATTGTAAGTAAACTTCTAACAAATAGTGTTTCACACTCTCCAATTGAATAATGCTGAAGATTTGGAGACTTAAGTTGCAAATGAAATGTTCTTATTAGGAATGAAGACAAAAAACTCTTCAACCACCTGTAGTGGTACTAAGTATAAATTGTTCTCACATTTTGTTGTAATTGCTTTAATTTGTCAAATAATGTAGAACAGCATTTCTGTAAATTTTTTGCATCCTACACACACATGCACAACTAAGTTTATCTTCAAAGATTATGCTATTGTGTATACCATTTCAATTCTTTGCAAAGCACATAAACACTTTTTTTTTTCTCTTTTTTTTTTTTTTTTTTAAGATGACCATTTCATAATTTAATCTTTTAATATAATCAAGAAAGGTAAATCATAAAAGTACAATAGCTGTGCTCAAATCAGTTAACACTTGATGAATGAGAGAAATGCCTGGTCCTTGAAGAAAATCAATTAAATAAAGCTTTAATACTATACTTACTCACAAATTACTTTTCTTTTTAGAATGTATGAAAAATGGTAATTTTTTTATACACAGCCAGGAAAGTGAATATAAGCTAAATAACGAGATATTAGCAACTGTATATGCATGTGATAGCATTCATATGCAGATAAGCAAATATTTATTATATGGTGCAAACAAAACAATGCTCAGTATATATTATATATATTCATGGGTTCCCAATTTGTCAGGCACATCTGGCAATTGAACTACTATATATATATATAAATTTTATATAATAGATTTTTTGTCTTGCTTTCTTTACATATTTTTAGCTTGATGAAAAACTCCAAAAGAGAAATGCAGATGTATCGAGAGGAAGCTGTAAAACGGTCAAAAGAAAGAGAAAAGCAGAAAAGACTACTCAATTCTGTAAGTAATTTTTATTTCATTGCATTCTTGATGCAGGGGCCATGTAGCAAATTCATTGCATCTTTTAATCAAACATCTAAGTGTGCTTGTTTTCTTTAAAAATCAAAGCTTTATATAGTATATGCAATTCTAATCTGAAATTGTCATGAATATCTGGTTCTGAAAATATATTATTGGTAAATGTTTTTAAACTTGTTAATTAAAAAAAAAAAATTCTTAGCTTTGTCATACCACATGGTACTAAATTTAAAGCCAGTTCAGTGATTTTATTTTTTTCTTTTGCCATTCCTTCATAAAACATGTTCTTAATATTAAATATTCTTAATGTTTGAAAACATAAATTTGTTCTCCAAAGCTCACTTTGAATTTTATTTTCCTCTTTTCTAATGTGAATGAAAAACTTTTCTTACATAAGTAATGAGCATAAAACTGTTGGCAGATTTCCTATTTCTTCCTGTTTGAGGAAATCTTTTCAGGTGACATTCTAGTATCCTCCTTAATTTGACTGTCATCCTTCATCTTGTTTAGTCCAGATTTTTTTCAACTATTTTGTAATATTAGTGTCTTTTCTCTTTAATTTATCTTACAAAATGAAAAAGACTCTCATCATTTTTCTACTACTGCTGCTGTTAGAAATCAGTCCTAAACTACTACAAGATACAATTCATGTGTTTATTGATAATTTTTCTTAAAGGTGACTGTCACAACTTGGTAAGGGAGTCTGGTGACTTCTGTCTGCAGGTGCAATACTCCTGCTTTTTATTCACACATACACAATATGGTTAGCATGGTACTTCCATGTCTGAACAATAACTGAAACGGCGCTTTTGTTTCTGTAGTTCCCAGTTACAACATCCCTCCCCAATTAGTCAAAATTTAATTAAACAATATTATTGTCGTGAACCATTACTTAGGTGGGAATGTCCATGGGTGTTTCAAAAGAACTGAGGAGACAAGTTATCAGGGGCAAGAATTGTACCACTTCCTGTCATAACTGCATCATTTTCCATATCTTTTCAGCATAATCTCTCGCTAAAAGTCGGACGCTGCATCACTTTCCTGTGGTGTCTAATTTTATGCCTGTTGCTTGGGCTCACTTTCAGTCTTGCTTCTCTCTGCTTGCGTTTCTGAAAAGGTGTTCTGACCAACATTCAGGGTCATTGATTTTCCTCCCTCAGTCTATATCGGTAGGGGTACTTGATGCTGTTTAGTCATGCTGAGTGTCCCTTCAAAATATGTCTGAGTTCTCCTTGGTTATTTAGCTCCTTTCGGACATGGATTTGGTTCAGTTGGAATAATCACACATGGTTTTTCCATACACACCCATCCTCCAGCCATAATATAAAAGTTATTGGGCCAAGTTGCTCCTCTAGAACTCCAGTCATCTATTTTGGTTTCCCTTGAAACTTCATAACATTAACAGCATCTCCCAAATAGAATGTTTTCCTGTCACTTCCTATCCATTGACATTTTAGTGTTGTCCATTTTATTGGTGACTTTGGCAGACAAATCTTGATACACCAGGTCAAGCCAAGATCTAGGCTGATATCCGATTAACAACATGGCTGCTGACTGACCAATTGTTTGTGGAAAAAGATGGTAGCGAGCCAGGACACAGTAGCCAAGTTTCGAGATCACCAGGAACCTTTTTTTTAACCCACTCTTGATGGTTTGTACAGCCTGTTCAGCCTGTTTGACAATAGGTGATATAGTGAACATCAAACATGCCATTCAAGGTGCAAAATTTTGAAAATTCTTCACTAGAAAAACTGCAAGCATTGTCCAAAATAATCATATGAGGTCTCCCATGTGTTGTAAATGTGCACTGCAACATCCATTCTGTTACTGCTGCTGATGGTGATGAAATGATATGTGTATTTGCTATGAGCATCCACTACCACAAGGATCCATTTGACATTGATGGAGCCTGCATAATTTACATGCACTCAAAACCATACCCTTCCTGGTCATTCTTATGGGTGTAACATGCTTGTCTGGGGCATATTAACCTTATCCTGGCACATAACGCAATTTCTTACACACAGTTCAATGTCTAAATCCAAATTAGGCTACCAGATATGGCAACAAGCAAGGGACTTCATCTATGAAATACCTGGGTGACCTTCCTGCAAGTCTTGACACTTTGAAGGGATAACCACTCGTGATCCCCATAAAATTCAATGCATTTGTACTGATAACGCCTCCTTCCCGTTTGTGTACTGTAGAAAATCCTGGGATTCATTGTACAGCCATCACTGTATGATCCACTTATGCACTTGAGATAACATGGAATCCCTGGATGTATACAAAGCAAGTTGTTTTTGCTGTGGCAGGAGTTGACTCTAAAGCTGTCATAGAAAGTACTACTTCCTCTGGACAAGGTAATAGTGTAAAAAAAAAAAGAAAAAAGTCCTCCATGATTAGTCAACTTAGTCTGTCTGCTTTGGGAATCTTTGAACCAGGTTTGTATACAAGCTGATAGTGGTAGTTTGAGAATACCAATGCCCAACATTGTACTCTCACACTTACTATATGTGATATTGCATGGCCCTCTTTTAAAATCCCAAGCAATTGCTTATAATCAGTAACGATTGTAACTGTCCTGACCATAAATCTATTTATAGAATTTGCTCACTCTAAAAATTACTGCTAGTTCATCATGTTCTGTCTTTGCATAATTCTGTTCTGCTTTTGATAATGTTCTCAAGCAAAGTAATTTTTTTTTTTTTTTTTCTCTTTCCATCTGCTATAGTATGTAACAAAACTGCTGCTCAAATACCAACTGGGTCATTAAAATTTTAAATTTAGGGTTGTAATGAAGTAAAACATCAGCTGATATTAAACTTTTCGATTGTTCAGATGCAAATTTTTGGCTATTCCCCATTTCCAGGGGACTTCTTTTTGTAATAATGCATACAGTGGAGCTAGAACAGTGCCAATATTTAAATACCAGCAATAATAATTAACAAAACCTAAATAACTGTGCTGTTCTGATGTGTTTTTTGGTGTTGGTGCTCTTTGAATAGCACTTATCCTAGTTTGATGAATTTCTTTGGAATTGGTCACATGACCCAGATAAACTATTGACAACTTCCCAAATTTGCATTTCTCAATTCTAAGATGGAGGCCTGCATCTCAGTCTTAACATAAAAAATGCAGATTTTGGATTTGTTCTTCCATATTTTTGCCAGAGATTAAAATGTCATCAATATAAGCAGCAGTCCTTGGTATACCTTGAATTGACTGGTCTATAGCGCATTGAAAAATTCCTGGTGAAGAAGCAATTCCAAAACACAATCTGGTGTACCTGTAAAGACCATTATGAGTGTTTATAGTAGCTAGTTCTAGTGACTCTTTCTCCAAAGGAATCTGTAAATATTGTGTCGCTCAAATCCAATCACATAAAACAATGTCCACCCAAGTCTTTGGAATACAAATGGTCTACATTTGGGATATCTGTAAGGCTGGGTTTATTGTCTGTTTAAAATCGCCACAAATCCTAACTTGACCATTTTTCTTTAACACTGGAATGATGGAGGTCCATTCAGAAAAAGTAACTGGTTTGATAACAGCAGTAGTAACCATGCGATCCAGTTAAGCCACAACCTTTTCTTAGAATGTTAACGGTACTGGTCAAGCTTTCATGTTAGGTTTGATATGCAGCTTCGCTGTTACATGTTTCAAAGTACCCAAGCCTGATTTTAAAAAGCTCAGAAAATTCTTGCTCCAAGTCTGTCCATTTAATTTGGTTGCAGGTAGCTCATAGATTTCCTACCAATCTCATCAAAGAAGATTGGATCCCAATCCAGGTACAACCAGCACTCTTAAATTATCTTTTCCTCTGGTGTTTTGCAGTCACATTGGCAACTCCCCATAGGCTCAATGATATGCCCAGAATAAATATGCAATTTTTGTATTAAACCCATTTTAGAAAACACTGCATTAGGTAGTTTCTTGAATTGCTCCTCACTTAAGAAAAAAAATGAACACCTGGTGTCTATTTCCATTTCACAAGTGACCCCTTGAAATGTTCTCGCAACAAATGCTTAATTTCCTCAAAAGTTCTATCACTCAGCTTCTGTAGGGCACATAAATCCTCCAAGACTGTACATTTTTTTTTCCACCTATGTTGCTGATAGCTCTTACATTTTATCTGTTTGCTGGCCCCAAACTGTTGTTTGCTAAGAAAAACTTCCAAATGGTCCAAGTAATACAAAATATTTCCAGATTCAATGCAGAATTCTAAAAGTCAGTGTTGATATTTGTGTGGAAAAAAAAAAAAAAAAAAATCTCTCCTAGTTGCTAAAATTTCACAACATGGTAAGAGGATCTGTAATAATTCCAACACAGTTTAATCTGGTGACTTCAGTCTGCAGGAGTGATACTCCTACTTTTTATTCAGGCATACATTATGGCCGACACAGTGTTTCTGTGTCTACACAACGGTTGAAATGGTGCTTTCATTTTCTTAGTTCCTGGTTACAACAGTGACCATATTGTTGATTTATTCTTAATTCAAAAATGAATTGCAACTTAACCAATAGAGAAGTCATCATACCAACTACTCATGTTATGCACTGGATGAGAATGACTTGAAACTAAAAACTTTGCTCCAACTTTGACCCTCAAAGGTGTATGTAATTATATATATATATACTGATTGTCAGAAAAATAAGTCTCATTTTATTCTTTCAGTGGCATTCTGTATTCTTGCTTAAGAGCCCAAACAGCTGTACTGTTGTTAAATACATTAAACAGGCTAATTTTTTTTCTTTTGTCACCAGCAATAGTTCACATATAACATGGCTCTCATTCTGGTTAAGTTGAAATTCATGATTATTTTTTACCTCCTTATTCAATAATTAATGTTTATTGATTCTCTTAGTGTTATCCTTTTATAGACAGTTTTCCTCTCAATTAACAACATGGAATAAGATTGCAGTTTTTGTGCTTTTTTTAACCTCTACAATAATTTGAAATATACAAATTTACTATGTGTTCTGCATCAAACTATGGCCCAGTTTGCATCAGCTACTACAAATTGACCTAATAACTGAGTTGTCTTCACAAATTTGCTAATTATTCATGAAATGAATGAGTTGTCAGATTGTCATTCATCTCCACTAGACATCAGCTAAAATTGAACAAAGAAGAACCAAATCAAATAAGGCACTTTCACAGACCCTAGTTTATCCTCCACTACTTTAGTCTATAGTGCAGTAGCACTAAATCTTTAAAAAAAAAAAAAAAAAAAATAATGTACATTCACTTTAATTAAAATATACTTTATTACTAATAAAATGTGACCCAAACCTGAAATGGACAAATGCTGCTAAAAATAGTACCTGCCAACTTGTACAATGTAAGGTTACCACTTACCTGCAATTTGTATTTAAAAAAAAAAAATCAAAAGTACACATATAATCTGCAAAGTACTATAAAATTCAGTATTCCTATACTGTTTATCAATTATTCAGTGACATGAAAAAATCAAACCAGATATTAAGATGCAAATAATCCACTTTCCTAACATTGCATCTTTAGAAGTGACATTAAAATTTCAAATGTTGTGTGTGTGTGTGCACACACAACTAATGTCTTTGGAAATGGTTTAAATTGTAATAAGAGGTATCATCTGATTCTAAAGAATTTTGTAGAAACAATGAAGGTAATTTAAAAAGTAAATTTTAATAAATAAAATAAATATTCAGTTTCATGTCTTTAAAGCCAATTATAAACTTTCCCATGTTAAGTAATTCAAGAGTTTGGAAAATAAAAGCAGTATCTTAATTCTATTTGGTTAATTTCATATTTCTACAGTTTATACTTTTTTTTTTTTTTTTTTTTTTTTTTTTTTTTTTTAAGACTCCTGGATGCTCAGCCCCAGCACATTCTCCCTCTGGGAATGCAAGCAAAAATGATAGTCATGATTTCTATGATTCTCTGGAATCTTCCCAACAAGAAACTGTACTAGCTCAAGCCCTTGCATCAGCTGTCAGCCCTCAGTGTCCCACCAAAGATGATCAACTAGTTACTACTACTACCACCACCACCACGAGCATACCTGTTGACAGTTTGTCTTATGTTGATTGGAAACACACAGATGTAATCATGAATTCCTTCTCTGATCTTGGCTCTCTTGATGATGGTTCTTTACCCACACAATTGCATGGAATACCTCTGACTTCAAAATCAGAACAACAAATAACTCGTGATCTTTCCACATTGAGTAAGCATCTACCAGAATCTTGTAGCTCTGCGCCTTCTGAACTTTGTGATTTGAGCCTGGACCTGAATTCCAGACTCACTGCATTGTCTCCTACAACAAATCTCCTCACTGCCCCCAAATGTGCTTTTTCGTGTTCTCCCACTCCACTTTGTCTTACTTCAACATCCTCACCACTAAGTGAGCTCAACTCTGATCAGAATCCTGCCCATGCCCCAGAAAATGCATCTACCAACATCCAAAGCAATTCTGCACATATTTTTAAAGCTCCTATCTTTCTTACTGAAGACAATGGCTTGCACTTGTCTTTGAAGAAACAGAACCCACCTTCTGTTTCTTGTTCTCCCTCATTAAAAGAAAGTCCTGTTGTAAATAAACAACCTTGGATAATGAATTCTCCCCTGATTGCTTATGTGACCAAAAAACGTCCTAAGCCTGTAGGTATGTGCTCCCTAACAATCAAACCAGACACTTCAAACAAAGTTCAGCGTGTAAATAATGCCACTTTTACAATTGTTAGAGGAAAGCAAAGTATTCAGGGTGATGATGACCAGGAAAATGATGACAAACCTCCATTGAAGAGACCGGTTATCAATACAGTAGAAAGGTCTTCTACTCCATTTACAGAATTCTCAGATAATTCCTCTATTTCACCTGGAAAGAAGACTAACCCCAAAATGTCAGCTTCACCATCCTCCAAAAGATATCAAATTGGTTCACATGATGAACTGTCAAAGTCTCTTTCTCTTCAAAACCTTCCTTCATCCCTGAAAGTACAAGCATTAGGACCAGCAGAAATACAAAGGTGCAAATCTTCAGTATCATCCCAAATTAATGTCCGCAACAATAACAATAATAACTGCAGAGGGTCTAAAGTACCAAAAGTGAATTTAGATGATGCTATAAGCCTTGCTTCATCATCTCTGTCCACTTCTCCTCATAATTTGTCTGTTAAGGAACATCTTGGTGATGACTCTTTAGATGAACTCCTCTTGGGGGTTGAAAATATTGGCCTTGTACCTCGCATTGATGGTGATGGAAGTGATGTGCCATTACCCTCCTCTCTATTAAAGGACTCTCAAGATTTAACCATTTCAAGATTAAGTGACCAACAAGAAATTAAACAAGCTTGGCAGAAAAATACAGTAAGTAATATTTTCTTAATTTTTTTTTTTTTTATTTTTCTTTTGTATGTAAATGCTTCTTAATTATTTTAAAATCTGTTGGTCTCTAATGAACTCAATGCTTTTCTTCTCCTCTTAAGATTTTTTGTAAAGAGTTAAATATAGCTTCGTTCATTCCTTTATAGTGAGTTTTGATATCTGATGTCAAACTTATGTCTTGTTTAAGCAATACACAAATTAAACTTTTCAACAGGAAAACCTGCTCACTGCTGATTCATGGTACATTGTCTGTCTCAATAGTTGTAGTATTATTTTTTTTTTTCTTTTGACTTTATCAATAGACACTGCATGTTTGGTTGAAGAACAAAAATTCTTTAAGATTTTTATGTATTTTTCTTCAGTTTGGACTTTTTTTTTTTTATTATTATTATTATACATGTTTCCTCATTTCAAAATGTAACAGGTAAATCAACACCTTCATATAGCCTCTTCACCTTTCAAGTAGTAGTTTATAAGTTTTAGTGTAGCGAATTGTATGTTATGCATATTTAAATTTAATGTTATGTATACATAAGTTAGAATATAATATGAAAGTGTTTATATGTGGATTGATATAAGAATGTGTATGAAACAAATACTATTAAAAATATTGTAAAAACAGCTCTGGCTCAAGAACTAGCCAAATTTTAATGAAATTTGGCATTGCACTTGGCAGATGTTCAAGGTACAATATACTTTTAAATTTGTTGGGTATTATGTATCATTTAATTTGTATCTTTGGAACACAAGATTAGTTTTTGTATTATATAGATTTGTGGGTTTTTGATGTTGTATACAGTATCATGCAAACATTCAGATATTTCAAATCCTCAAAAATTTCTAATAATTTACAAACTTATGAGTGGAGGTTTTTTTATTTTTTTTTATTGCATTTTCTACATATGAAACATTGGCTATATTGAAATTATTTCCATACTTAATTTTCAGATTATGTAGGAGGAATTTTGAATTGAAGGGATTACATGGTTCAGTCCCTAAAACTGACCATGCAAAAAGCTCTTGGTTGCTTCATATAAATCAACCAGAAAATGTTTTAAAACATATCTATAATTGAGATTTATTACATAATGTTCATTCTTATTGATATTTTGTGTAGATTCTCATAACATGAATAATTGCTTCAATGTCTCTATGAAAATCCTTCAGTCTTTACATGTATGAGATGCTATTCTCTGGGGCTGAGCTTGCATATATCTTCAAGATTAAGTGGCTTCTCTTGACAAACTTTTTCAGTTCTGTTTAAATTTATTTGATGTTTAAATTAGGTCTCTGAGCTGGTCAATCTTTCAATACAGTGATATTTTCATCAACTAGACTGTTTTGTGTCACACAATCTGTGACATGAAGCCCTGACATGTAGAAAAATCTCTTTATCCTAGTATGAAATGGTCCTTCAACAACTGGATGCATTTAACACTATTCAAGCTACTGTTAATTTTAACTTTCTTGAATTGTCACTCCAACATCAGATGCTTTTACCCTCCCTCAAACTTCACTGTTTCCATTGTATAATCTATCATTATACATTTCTGTAGTCCTTATGATAAATTCTCATTTATTAGAATGCAGTTCCATCTTAGTTTCATTCCTGAATGTGATCTTCTTTCAAGCATTTGCATTCCATCATTCATACCTTTTTGATTTAATGATTTCAAATCCTTTTTAATGATTTCTTAGCTGAAATGCACCTGATTCAGTTCATATTCTTGAAGTATTATGTACCTAGTGTTTATCTACTGCAACAAAATTGAACTACTTGCACTTAGCTGTCACTTGTTTGCACTCATCTTTTAGCTGTTATGATCAGTTCAAGACACTTCCAGGGCCTTTATTCTTGGTTAGCTTAACTCTCTTAATCATGGTTTCTTAATCTTTTACCATGATTTCAACAAATGCAGAAATTCAATGTAAGAATTTCGATATGATTAATGTACGTAGGAAGAAATTCTGCTGTTATGAATATTTTGTTTTTCACATCAGCACCAAAAAGTAGTTGAAAACTTCTGCATAGCCATTTTTGCTGCTTCTAATATTCAGGGCACCTGCTACAAAATATGTAATTTAGGTATGAAAGCTTGCAATTATCAATTTACAATAGTGGCCAAAGATTCTTGTACTGAACTTATCTACTATATGTTTCTTCCATCTTATCATAATTGTGCTAGTCTCTCCTTTCATTAGTTTGCATGACCATTAATGAACTATTTCATTTTGATCATGTAGAGAGGAAAAGACACTATTTGATTTAAGTGCAAAAATGAAGGAGAATAGAATAGGGGAATATGTACAGATATTTTGTCATAGAACTCTCTGAGCTTACTTATTAACTTAATTTTTAAGTGACATTCATCAGAATATTAAAATAGGAAAATTGAAATTTTCACATAAATAATTAATCCATATATTTTATTTAAATAGCTACCTACTGACATAAACTGTAACCATATTTAAATTGAATCAACTGCGACTTTATTAAGTAGCAGTAACTGTATTGCCAAATCATTGGAAGCAATATTTTTTAAATTACAAATAACCAAAAAAGTCAAACCTTTCAAAGTTTAAGAATTGTAGTTATGAATTTAATATTAAAATTTAATGAAATCATAAAATTTGAAAAGAATTACTATTTTATTAATATTTTACCACTGTTTTACATGATTTAAGTATCTGAACAAATTCAAAATTTTAAACATTAATATTATGTCATTTACAGAATTAGTTAAAAATCTTGTGCCATTATGAAAACAATTTTTTTTTTTCCTAAGAAAGAATACAGTCAGTACATAAATTACTTTAATTCACTAAGAAATCCACCAAAGATTGAATATATATGAAGGTAGACATGAAACTTAGTTTGCCGATATATAAAATGGCTTGAGCAATTCCACTAAAAATGCCTGCAACACACCCTTAACATAAAATAATCTTTAATTCCAGACCATTTTTTTCCCTCCAAAGATATGAATGCAACAGCATTGAAACAATAATTCTCAACCAGTTGTGAGACTGGGAGATTTTCTATGGGAAAGCATTCACAGCACAAGCTTTGGGAAGAACTTATAATGGAGGATACGCCTTTTGAGGATGAATATCTAGGGCATGCTCAGATCAAGCGTGATCTCGAGGCACCCACTGATTTGCTAACTATTTTGTAGTCTTGAAAATGTGGTGTATGTGAGTGCATGCTGTTGTTGAGGGCAGGTTATATAAACCATCTGAAAGGTGATGACAACCAAAAACAAGCCAGCTATGCCAACTTGCCTTATTGTCCTGTCAACAATACCCATGTTGTATGCAACAAGATTTGCAGATCATCTAGATTGAGAAGGTACATGGTGGTACAGTTGTAGGGCATGCAGATTCAATTAACACCATCAAGGATATAGTTTCTGTTATATATTTATGATACCTATGCATGTGAATGCTGGTCTAAAGTCATCTTAGGAGGCCATAGATGCCAAAACAAGACTAAGCCATTACAAGTGATGCAAAGGTTGAGGAGGTGTCTCATCTGAGTAAGATGTGGCAATCACCATTTAAATATCTTATATTTGTGGAGGGAGTGCTCAATAGCAGAAATAAAGTGTTTGTAGATACAGTGTGGACATAGCATAAGAATCACCACTGCTGTGTTACTGTCAGTTTCACACCTGTGTGTGTTCAAATTGGTGTTATGTTTTCTAAGTTGATATTATTTTTGTATCATTGTTGATTATTTGGCAGATTTGTTACATTAGTTGGTAATGTGATTTGAGTTATATGGCAAGTTAACCAGCACAATAATGTAATGATCTTCTAATCGATGTATGTGTTGTTTGAATTCATAGATTGATGATCATGTTAGTTTTTTTGTAATGTGATGCACATTACTCTTTTTTTTTTTCCCTCTAGTTTGTGGTTGTGTTGTTTATATATATATATATATATATATATATAATGTGTGTGTGTCTGTTATTTATTTAGAAAATTTATAACATAAACATGTTATAAAATCACAACAAAAATAGCCATTTTGTTTCAACACTCCCGGTGTCTTATCAAGTGATGTTGAATGCAAAACAAATGGTTTCAAAAGTTTCAAATTCGTTAATGATCTTTCACAAGAGGAAAACGTTGTTCCAAAAGCTAGAATGACCAATATATATATATATATATATATATATATATATACACACACACACACACACACCTTATTCTCCAATCATTTGGTTATAATAGTGGATGCTTATGTAGGACCACACATACTTTTTGGAAGAACTTGTAACAGAAATAGTGTGCTACAATGTTTCCAAACAGCTTGCTTCTGGTTTCAATTAAGTGCTGCTTCTAGACTGGTTGCCAATTGAGGCTAGAGAGCTCAGTTTGCCCTGCTATTTGTTTGTGTGTATGGGTGCACCTACAAAATACTAAAGTATAAATGTTTAAAAGATCACTTGAATTTGGTTTTAAATATGCAAATCTAAAAGTGGGAGGAGATTATAACAATTACAAAGGATAACTAAAACTGCAAACCTCTGCAGTAAGCCTGGCATAAATTGGCTCTAGATATATAGTATAATAATCAAAGAAAATTACTAGACTCTTCCTCTAAAATAAGAATTAAAAACTGAAATTTGTATTTTGCTTTGTGCTCATTCAATAGATAAATGTTGTAATCATGACAATCAATACAAAGTATTTGATGGTGAACAAAGAAATAATCAGAATAAAGGAAGAAAAGAAATTTAAGTTTTAGTGTTGTCTGATGTAAACCTGTTACTATGAAATTGCAGCCATTTTTGTATAGAGAAGTAGTTGACATGTTATTTATTCAGGAAATCTGTAGACAATTTGATGAGAATATAAAAAATAACATTTTTTTTTTTTTTACCTGCTTTTCAGTCTTTTATTCTCTTGGTTCACTAGAGAAAGTGTAATTTTTACTAATTAATAATGTTCAAGCTTTTGTGTTCAGAGGCAGTCATACTTATGATTAATCAGTTTCATTCTCTCTACCTGATGGTTAAGCTTGACTTTTTGGCCTCTTGTTTTGTACACTATTAATGAAATATATTTTTTTTTTTTTTTTTTTTTTTTTTTTTAGACTAAAGATATAAAAATATTAACTTTATATTATAGAAAAGTCTATTTTCAAACTGCAAAATCTAATGGATAAATGCTCTTTCTCTCTCTAGGCTTTCCATTCACCAGAGTTAGTTCGGTCCAACTTTTCTCCAGTTGGGACTGATTCTCCACTCCGCTTACAGGCATCTGTTGCCACAGTGGATGTAACCACCAGCTCTGGGATAGCTAGCCTCTGTGATATGTCCACTGATTCCCCAGTCACTTGTCTGACTAAGCGACAATCAAAGGTCTCATCAGACATAGTGACTGATGCAAGCACTAATTTTGCTAACTCTGGAATTCGACGTGGCTCTTACACGCTGCTGGAACCATCAATCAACTTGGTTAAACTTGCTCAGCTTACACCATCTCCAACCACAGACAATCACAACAGCTCTAGTATTTCAGAAAAAATTCCCTCCTATGCAGATTTTGAGACACAACTACACAAAAGGATACCATCTAAAAACCAGAGCCCCAAATCTGTTCGACCAGATATTGCTACCCCTAGTAGGTTGGCTACTCCAGTCAAGCAGATAAGTGCAACAAAATCTCTTTATTCTGATTCTAAATGCTCTATACAAAAGAAAGCTCTTAAAAGATCAAAAAGTGTGAATCAAATTAAAAAAACCAAGGACTCATTTCACATGACTCCTCAACTCCCTAAGACCAAAAACTCTCCCAAATGTTTGCAAAGTGAGAAGTCTAAGACACAGCATAAATTATCAACCATATCTCAGCCAAATATTGCCAAGAAGACCTCACCTAAAACTTTTAGAGAATGGCGGCTCTCAAATATTGATAAGATTTCTGCAAACTCTCTTAAAAAGGATGTTGAGAATATGCTTAAAGATGAAACCTCCACAAATGGTGAGTAGGTTTTTGTAATAAATTATGAAATACTGAAAACAATACTTAATGTTTGGGTAAATAATTTCAATATAAAGTAAATTTATAAAATTACAAAAATGAGATTAATTTAAATCCTTTTTGTTTATAAGCTTTATTTATCTTTAAGATTACCTTTCATTTTTTGCAAATGATAAATAGATTTTAATTTTTTAAAATTAAATTTTCTATTGCTATTGTTCAACTAAAATTAAAATTTTTATCGTGCATATTTATTGTGATTAAATGTCTTTTTTTTTTTTTTTTTTTTTTTCCCCCCTCTTAACTAGAAACAAACCTGGTGATATTAGTTAAAATGATTACTACTAATATTCTGAAAGTTGCTTTTCAATGCCACTTAATATTTGGCAACCAATTTATTTACTTTTATTTGGAAATTATCAAGGATTATCAAAAGAATTCTCACATCTCATATTTGGAGGTATTGTTGGCCAAATGTGAATGGTGATCGATTAAGATACCTATGTTGTTGGATCATAAATCATTTGGATTTTGACTAGAATGTTGAAAACCTGACTTTTCAAGAACCTAAATAGCTGTTGAAACTTCAGTTGTCTTCTAACAATTGCTAATTAAATATATCTGATTCAATATGAAATGTTTTTTATTTTGACCTAATAAAAAGGTTAATTTCTATGCCCCAATAAATATGATGCTGTGCTTAAAGCACAGCATCATATTTATTGGGGCAAAGTTTAACATTTATACAAACAAACAAAAAAAAGGGATCTCAAAAGACAGTTTTTGCCTTGACACTATTACTGTATACTCTTTTTTGACAATTTTTATTGTTTTAAAACCCTATTTTTACAATTTCTATAACATAACCCAAACATCAGAAGCTGTATTTATGCATTTTTATTTCTCAACGCAAGTACTAAGCATTATTCTTGTAAACCATCTAATAAATAGTATTTAACTTTTTTTTTTTCTTTTTTTTTTTTTTTTTTTTTTTCACAATGTATTAGTTACTTGTCATTGTTTAAATTTTCTTGTTCACAAAAAAATTTAAGTTTATGAATTAAAAAAAAAAAAAAAAAATTGTTTCCATACTTATTTATATGATAAATGTTGCATTGTACTTAGTTTACATACTTTTTTATATACTTGTAAATAGAGCAATCTAATAAAATAGTATTTAATTCTTTTGTCAATTCTCAAGAAAAAAGAATGCATAAATCCAGTTTCATATTTTGGGGTCTTATTAAAATACCTTTTTAAAACAAAAATTGCCAAGGGAGATTTATATAGTAGTGGTGTCCAGGGTTGGGTACATCCTTTTGCAGGTACAAATGTCAGATTTTGCTCATATTGTAAAGATCAGGGCTGCATGTACCTTTTTACTTGATGAGTAAATGAAAACTCCTTTGCCTATGCTATTGTTCAACTAATTCTGATAAATGCTTACATCCTGTTTCTTTCAGTTTCCGTGGACTCTCCACTCCCTTCTCCATCTCTCACCAATGACAATCCATTAGACTGGGACAATAAAATTGAGGATCAAATGAAGTGTTTCTTTTCTGAAAAGAAAAATTCTTATTTCCAATTGAAGAAAGACTTCAATGATTGGCAAGAGAAAATGGAGGTAGCAGAACAAAAATTTAAAAAAACCCTTGAAAGTATAACTTTACCCAGACAAGTATCTGAGAACTGGAAACCAGGCCTTGATTTCTTGACTCCTGACATCAGTTTTACATCTACAGAGCATGGGCAGATAGAAACTCCAGTCAAACAGTTATTTGAGCCACAAACTCCAACTGTCTCACCTGTTTCTTCCCAGGTGTCAGGGGAAGTGCTAGCTGATAATGTTCCAAAGCCTACCAAGGTAAGATTGAATGATTTCAATTTAGGTGAGAAAGATTTTTTTAATATATTAAAAGCTTGAAAAACTTTACTTTCATTCTTTTTTAAAGTGCATGTCTTGTGGTTAAAATAATTGTCTATTTCCCAGTGGTACCAAAGGTTGTGATTAAGCCAGAATTTTGGTGCTGATATTGTAGGCTGATGAAAGAGTGGAAATCGACTATTAGGTTGAGTCATAATTTCCGCTTTTGTTTATCAACTTTTATTCTTTGAAATGCAATTTCTTTCAATTATATTCACTATTATTTACAGTGACTTCTAACCACTTTTCATGCAGCTCTTCAATACCTCTTGTGAGTAAAATTTTGCAGGTCTCTGTTCAAGTTTTCAATGAAATTTTGAATCTGGTTTGCGTTGAAGGTTTTTCTCCATTTAAAGCTTTTTTGCAGCAGTCAAAAAACATAAAAATAGTTGATGCAAGGTCACATGAATATAGCATGTGGGGTAGAACAGACCAACCAAATTCCAAAATTTTTCCTGTGTTATTTTTACTGTGTATGAACTTGTCGTGTCCTGGAAGAGAACATTCTTCCTCAAATCCACTTTGTACGCTTCAACTACCATGCAAGCACTAAGGTATGTTAGTGTACACCATATTTATTTGTAACTGTTTTCATCATTACAAATGGTACCCCAAAACGGAAATTACTTATGAAACAACCTAATATTAAATGTATTTTCTCTTATTCTCATCATCTTCTCTTTCTCTTTGAAGTCTAGAAATCATGGCCTTGAGAAAATTTCAGCTGCTGTTAAGGGTTTTCTCACCAGAAGACTATTGTCTTGTCCTAAAGTAGTATCCTTGAGAAAGACCATACAAGTAAGCATTTTTTTTTTTTTCTTCCTTAAAAAAAAAATATTGTGCAAGTCTCCCATGACCTCAATGGATCACATTAATTTATTTACTTGCTAAATTTGATATTATAGTAAACGGTACTGTCTTATTTGTTTGCGATCCAATTAATATAGCCCTAAATCAGAATGTTAATTTGTTCATTGTTATTTATTACATTTTATATTAAATTTTCATGCTTTAAATCTATAAAGTCTTACAAGGAAATACAGAGGAATGGAAATATTTGAACTTGTGTGACCTGGAAGAGAAACATTTCTGATAATGAAAGAAAATTTTACAATTTTTATGAAGAATTGAAATCTTAATGGAATTTTTATATTAAGTTACCGTTTTAATGATACAAAACATTTTCCTTAAACCTTTGTAAATTCATAGTTTACTCCCTTGAAAGATAAAGCATAAATGTTTTTCTTATTTTCTTGATTATCTAAAATGAAACTAAACTTATAGATATTGAAATTTACAAAAGGTACCAAAGTAACATTTAATTTCTGCTTGGACTCTTCTTGCAAGTTACAAGGATGGCTTCAAAATAAACAACTTTTTAAATTCTATGATTTGTCAAGAATATGTAGACATCATTGCTCTTTTTAAAAATTGTTTCTAAAGTTTTATATTTTTAAACTTTAGTCTAAATATAAAGTTTATGATAAAAGAACATGAATTTTTTTTTTATAGGTTATTTTTTATTGTTTCCCTCTTCCCATACTCCTCTTTCATAGACAATCGGTAACTATTATTATTTTAATCCCAGGAATGTGTGAAACTTTTGGAGGATATCGATAATTCTCATACTGACTTTATCAACAGAATAAACAACCAGGTATGAAATGTTTTCATGTTTTGAAATTAATCAGTGAAATTTAAATACCTGTTTTATCACTTTTTCTATCTAAAGAGTCTTCTCTTCACCTTCAGTTGGAGTCCTCACGGCAAGAGATTCATGCTATTTTCTTTGATAAAACACTTGAAGAAAGAATGGTATTGATTAGACAATCACGTGAGTTACCAAAGAAAAAATCTATAAAGGTAAGTAGCTTAAATTTGGGAGGTTGATGAGGGATTATTCCAGGACTATAAAATCTGAAACTTTTATTTATCTTCATTCAAGATCTGAATCCAGTAGTTAGTCTAGGGTAGTGTATTCAGGACATCTGTAATTGACTAGTTTGGGGGTGGGTGTTAGTAATGCATGAAACTCCAATTGTCCTTTTTTTTTTTTTTTTTTCTTTCTCGCCTATCTCTTTCCATCTTTCCAGAGAGGTCAATTATTTTTGCCTCTTTCTTGGAGCCTTCAGTCTCTGACTTCCAAAGTGTATTGTTTGATCACTACTTTTTTTCTATACATGTAAAAATGCATGATCCAGTGAATGCTTGCAGCAATTCAAAATAAACTATAGATGTTTTCTAAATTACCAAATATTAAATGAGTATCTGTCTATATTTCTGAGATGAGGTACTCTATTTACATTGTTTGGACTGTTGTCTTCATCTTTGTCATATTCCCAAAGTTTTGGCTGTTGTATGCTTCAGGTTATATACATTAGAATTTCAAACCAAGCCCTTTTACTCCGTGGGGGTAGATTGTTCTAATTCCACATACCATGCCTTTTTGGGATATCTGTTTCAGTTAATTTCAGTTAGTAACTCAACTCTCCAAGTTTTTGTTCTCTCTGCTTTGGCCAACTCTTTGGGTCAAGTCACTTTATGGATTGCTCAACCAACACCTTTATCCAATGGAACAATTGGATAAGAACAATTAGAACAATTAATGGTCAAAACATTCTGAATATGGCAATAAAGATGACAACAGTGATGTAAATAGTTAAATATGAGTATTTGAGCATGAGGAAAAGAACTATGATCACTCATGTTAAAATTTTTATTCTGAAACTCTGCTACTGAAAAGTTAAGGGAAGACCAAATATTGTGGCTAATGAGAAAATAACTTTATAACATTAGTCTGTAAATTCAATCTAGGTCTAAAAATACAATAATTAAGTCAATACTCTGTTTATCTCTTTTTTTTTTTTTTTTTTTTTTTTTTTTTTTTTTTTTTTTTTGTTACTTATTATACCAAAAATTTAAGCCCAGTTAATACAGATCTTTCAATATAAACTGCAAATATTTTAATAAAGAGGTACAAATATATCATATGTAATGCAGACAAATTTATTTCAATGTTCAAATAAGATTGTAATGCTATCATTATTGCTGTTCACCATTTGCATAACTTCTGTTCAAAATCTGTTTTAAAACGTATTTTCTTTGTTTCAGAATAAAGTTCCACAGTTAAGCTATGCCACACAAAAATATCAAATGCGTAAGAAAGCAGAGTATCCTTTCCCGTAACTTTAATAAATGTGAATCTTTGTCAATCACTTTAATAATGAATTTTATATGGCTATAAAAATTTATCTGAATGCTTGAAAGTCATGTAAATTAGATTTCTACTTTTGTTCATCTCCACAAAATTAAACCTAAATTGAACACTTCAACTTTTTTATCCAGTTCATATTAGGTAAAGATAAGAATTTATAATTACATTGTTTTGAAACAGAAAATTTACACAATATTTAGAGCACATGTTAACACAAATGCAATAAGCTTGCCATGAAAAGAAGCTCATGCTAGGGAGAACAAAAATGATACCCACATATTTTTCTGTAGTGGCATAAAACAAGTGGACACTGCTATTGCATTCACTTGCAACACATAAATGAACTCAGAAAATTTGTACTATTTTATTGGTCACTGGCAGTAGCCACAGTACTACTCTGCTTACATCTCACTAAACTTTGTTGAGCAGTTTATTGAAAACCCAAATCTCTTTGCTCAATTGACTTTGGCCATTATTTTTTTTTTTAGTTTTGTATACGGAGGGGAATAAGGAACCTGGTAGCTGGTCATTGCTTCAGATGTTCTAAGTGTTAGATTCCAACACTGGTGTGTGGGGGATCCTAACTTTAATCTATGTTGAAGTCAAAGAAGACAAGAAAATTGGCAATATTTACAAAGTTGGAAGAAGAGCTGATCAAGTGGGTGAAGCAACACAGAATTGCTGGCATGGGGATTAGCACAACTAACAAGTCTCAGGGCACTGAAAATCCCAAACAGGGTGGGAACAATGCCTGCCAATTTCATGATCAGTATTGGGTAGTGCCACTGCTTTATAGAGATAAACATAATTTATAATTTCATCACTAAATTTCTTGCAGATTTTCTAGACAATTTACTGAAGATAGTGACAATGGCAACATCTACAACACTGACAAGATATGTAAAACTGTCATGATGTTTATTTTGACACACAACCATGAAGCTGACCAAAATAGGCTTAATTTTCTTAGGTGTACAAAATTTTATTATGGCCATAAAAGCAGATATAATTAAATTCCTTATTGTTCAATAAGTTGTCTTTTAATTGTCATAATAAAGTGCTTAATATCTTACTTTTTTTTTTCATGTTACACATTCAGTTTGGACCATAGAGCTTTTGATCATATAGTTCCTGGATTGCATTTTTTTGGTTTTTAATCAATCAAGTGCTGCTGGTTTTTTCCTTAACTATATTCTTTTCAGGAAAGCTCCAATGCTTGACAAAAATATTCATGCTGGCAAAGTTGCATCTATCAAGCAAATAGCAGTTTGTTCTTCAATAAAATCTCCAAAGTAAGGATGAAATTCATTTTTTACTTTTTAGACATCATCTTAGAAATTTCAGCTGTTTTGGGAGATTTTTTTTTTTTTTTTTTTTTGTAATTACACTTTGTTTGTAAATACTTGCATCTACCTCTCTCATGCAAACAGTACTGAAAAGTTCTTAACTAAGAACCCTTTCTTTAAAAAAAAAAAAGGGTACAATTTTAGTGAGTAGATAACTTTCAGCCCCAAACCCCCCCACCCACCTTGTACTCAAAAATGGACATTTTCATTTTACTTTTTATCTTAACATAAATCAAGTGGTTCTTATTTCTAAGATAATCTGTTTAATTCAAAGATATGGGGTAGGAAAAATTTTTTTTTTTTTTTTTTTTTTTTTTTTTTTAAATTCAAAGACAATTTGAAGTTCTTGTTTTAAAAGAACTTCTAGGGTGCAAGGCTAGGTCAGTATAGCAAGTTCTGTCATCATCCTGATGGAAGATGATGCCCTTCTTATTGGCTAATTCCAGACACTTTTCATTAATTGCTGCCTTTAATCAGTCCAACTTGAAACAGTAATTGGATGAATACAGTGTCCAACTTTGCAGAAGGAGCTTGTAATGCACAATGCCCTTCCAATCCAACCAGATGTGCAACATCACCTTCAGATGTAAACCCACTCTTGAAGTGCTTAACAGTGACTCATTTAATTTTCCCCAGGACCATTTTCTCTTCATTGTCATAAAAAATCCACTTTCATCACCTGTGATCAGTCTCTTAAAAATAGGTTGTTTTTGTTGCATTTAAGAGAATTGCAGATGGAAATGTGGTTCATGAAATTCTTTTTCTGTTAAATCATGAGGCAACCAAATATTGTAGGGATTCACATCTCATTGTTTTCAAATGCCTTACAGCACTCATGAGATATATACTATCTGCAATGTCTAGTGCCTCATTTGAAGTAGATTATTTTTAATCAGCATACATTTTCTCTCTATCTCTCTCTTTGCAGACCTAATAAGGATACTGCGAAAGTAAAACAAGAAAATCGGTATGTTCTTCGTTTTTGTGTTTTTTGTTTTTTTTTTTTTTCTCTTTCCATCAGCAGCATAATTTTAAAGACAGTCATTGTTTGTGAAAATAACTATCCAATAAATATCCAATTAGCTTGACTTAAAAATTGGAGTATTTCCAATTGATTTACCAATGTTTTTAAGATTTCAACAATTTAAATATTTCCTGAACATTATTGTTAATTGTAAATTTTTATATTCCTTCATTCTCTGTCTATTTATTTGCTACTCTTTTCTTTCTTTTCCTCAAGCCTTTCTCGTAAAACTCAACAAGTAAAGTAAGTTGAATCTCTCTAGACAATCAGCACTTCATTTTTACTCAAGTAGCACCCAGTAGATGACAAATTAAATAATTTGTTCATATTTGTTTTATATGTATAAACATACATGAAATCATTCCACTTATAATGGTGTGGAATTCTTTACTACTTTTATTAAAAGAATTTTTATAATAAGATTCTTTTAATAATTGGGAAGGGATACAGTTGGTTACCAAACTCCTACTAGTTGCACAGTAATTTTAATAGATTTATTTACCATCAATGTTTGTTTCAAAGCTACCTGTCTTCTTTCCCCACTTAGCCCTTCAATTGACTTTTTCTGAGCCAACCACTACACTTATCTTTTTACAATATTCCAAGTAAATGAAATCTGAAATTTATTAGATGTGATTTTGAAACAACATCACTCACTAACCTTCATACTTTTCACATCAACACTTTAAAATATTGACTTGGTGATGCCTACTTTTAAAACCATTTTCTTCTGTAAAACATATTCCTTTTTAATTGTTTTTTGAATCAGTGTTTTTTTTTTTTTTAGATCTGTGCGTAAAATTGCTCCACCAAATGTACCAAAGAAGCCCAACAAAATAGGTGAGTATGTTTAAATTTATATATGTATACATACATACACAGACTTATCACCTTTGCATGGCAGTTTGAGATATATATTTTGAAATTTAGTCTGGGTCTAAATCTTGCTCATGTTTATTGTCAGCACCAAATAAAGAATTATTTCAAGAAAATTGCTACAGATAAAGATGTAGTAGCATTTGTATGAAAGGAAATAACTGAAAATATTAAGTTAGCTATAGTGTATGTCTTATAAGAGTTCAAATAAGAATAAGTCTCCTGCATAGTTTAGGACCTACAAAAAAAAAAAAATTAAAATCCATATTTTAGATAATTTTTATAAGAGACAATTTTTTTTTTTTTTTTTTTAAATTTCCCCCCTCCCCCTTTCTTCAGTCTCTTAAACTTTTTTTTTTTTCTTTTCAGTTTCTGTTGCAGGCAAAATGACTGCCACTCGTATTGTTGCAACAAAAGCAAATGCTGGTCCCCTGAGGAATAATACTTACAAACCATGGCGTTGAAGAGGTCTTTCATCCTCAATGGGGAACAAGGATTGTTAGCGGGTAGGGGGTGACTGTAATTATTAACTTGTGTATTCCTTGCCTTACAATGAACAATTATTATAATTGGCTGTGATTTCAAACTCTTTCATCTGTAATTTTATTTGCTCTCTAATTTATTTAACACTTTCTTCTCATATTACAGAATTTAAATGAACAAATTTTTCATTATTCATAAGATTTCAGTTTGATCAGTTAAAGTATTACATTTTCTCCTCAAAGTTCTGGTCACAAGCTTTTTATTCATTGGAAAACCGATTTAAGCTACATTACTTTTTCTTTAAACAATTCTATCACCAATATTTTAAAATTGTTATTAAATGTTGTTCCATCTTTTACCTTCATTGTTTTGATTTTTGCTTGCATCCGTGTTTTGGTTTGTTTGATTTTTTTTTTTTTTTTTTTTTTTTTTGCTATTAAAACACAAATGACTTTTTTGTTCTACAATTATACTTTACCTTCTAATTTTATTGCTTGTAAAATAACGTATACTTAAAAGATGCTTTTTTTTTTTTTTTTTTTTTTTTTTTTTTTTTGAAAGGTTAGATTTCAAATGTCCTATAATTGCCTTGGAAATAGTTTTGAATTATCTTATTTATAAAGTTAAACTGTGATTTTAAGTAGTTAATAACAGAATAAAAAGTTCTTGTAGAATATAGTTTTTATTATAGTGAAAATTTTCAATCAGAATTCATATTGCGATAAACTAATATTTTCTGCTGATATTTTTGTACATTGTTTCTTTTAATTTTTCTTCTGATTTCCATAGTCATGGCTTTACTAATTAAGAAAATTCCTTGAAAGATCTCCAAAAATAAAAAGCACAATGTTAACAAAGGTTCTTAGAAAATGTTCTAAGTTCCCAGCATCTTTTGATATTAAATAAAAATCCTTCCAACCATGAAGCATCAAGAGTTTAACAATGCTTAAGGATAAAATGAGTTAAATGATGGGTTCTACTTAATGTTTTATTTCAGACTTAGAGTTCATCTTTATAAATTCTACTTGTAAATCTTTATTCAGTACCTCTTCATGAATTTATCTAGATATTACATAGGATTTTTTTTTTTTTTAAATAATCAGTTTGTGCTATTTTTTTTTTCTTTACACTTCATGTTTCATTTTTCTTCTTTTTCTAATAAGCACAGCAAAAGGAGGGAGGGACTCTCAATTTTACTTCAATAAAATGTAGGAATTAAATAGTGATTTTATTATTTAAAAACAAATTTTTTTTTTTTTTTTTTTTTTTTTTTTTTTTTTTTTAATCGCACAAAAGAATTTGAATAATTTTGTAAATTTCTCCCATTTTGATATTACCATTGTTGACTTCTTCCTTTACTGTGTTGATCAGAACAGTTTTGCTTTGATTCTGAAGTATTCTTTTACTTTATTTTTTTATTTTCAGTGTTAAATGTAGATATTTTTTAAACCATATTAAGGATTGAATTCTCAAGCAGTGATCAGAAAGGCTTGCTAACATAACCCTAAAGCAAGCATTTTTCATTCTTCAATATCTTTTAGGGCAAGAGATGGTCAAATGTTAGTTTATTATTTATTCCTTGTCAATAAAACTAATTTTATTTCTTTGGCAAGTATCTTGTGTGTTTATCTTCCATAAGTTTCTTCCAGTTGTGATTAGATTTAATTAAAAAAAATTTAAAAAAAAAAAAAAAAAAAATCATTGCTTCTCTCTTTACAAATTATCAAGCTATTGATGAAATAATGTAAGATGCAAATAGGAAAACTTATTTTATTAAGTGCTCATCTTTTAATTATTAGGACTCTCATTCTTCTTTCTTTACATATAACTCCTTTTGGTTTAAAGGGATTTTCAAATTTTAATGATTGACAAATCCCCAATAGGGATTTAACAACCAGAATAAGATTGGAAACTGATATAAAAAGTTTGGCAAATGCTTATGCACATTTGAATATATCTACAATGTTGCAAATGTTTCACCATCTTATTTACTCACAAAATTATAAAGACTTAGAATAGATAAGATTTTCTGACTTAGCCTTATCAGAGTATTAGTTTCATATATACTACATTGGAAAGCTTTGTGTACTTGTAAGAATTTAATAAAATATTTTCATACACTAGTGCTTACCCCACCAAGAAAAAAATATTTGATTTGTCAAGATTCATAGATATTATTGCTGTTAAATCTTTGTGAAAATTAACTCATAATTATTAAATAACTTTCTTATTGATTAATCAGCTCATGGATAAAACTGGGGAGTTTCTTATACTGTTTCAATTAATTGAAACATTAGTATAAGAAACTCCCCCACCCCAACTGATTTTAATATATTCACACATGCTTAGGTTCAGAACACAATTTTAAAGCATGACTTTCACTTAAGTTATAGAGATGCCTGCTTGTAGTAATATTTAAACCTTAGTTCAGATATATATCAAGTTGAATTTTGTCTGATATCAAACTTAGTTTCAATAACTTAGTCTGAAAAGCTTTTTCATGAATCTGAGATGCTAAAAGGTTCTCATCTTGGCCAAGAAAGAAAAAATTCACTTCAGTTAGATTTTTGAAAATGAGTGAGACAGGAAATTGTCCTGATTTTTATGTCTTAGCATTTCTAAAATCTATAGAGGGAATTAACAGAAACCTCTTCCTTGATTTAAGTTGTTGTTACTTTTTTTTTTTGCTGGTGCATAAAGCTAGCAAAATGTTGCCCTTCACAACTGCAAAGCTTTTTTTTTTTTTTTTTTTTTTTTTTAGTTTAGTCCCTTAACTCAATAGGCAAATACAGATAGGTAGTCTTATCAGTGGCTAGGTTTATACTAACAGCAGGGACTCTTCAAAAAAGGAAATGTCAATATCTTACAAAACTTTTCTGCTTATATGGAAAAGTGCCTAATTTACTATTTTAAGTTAAGTTTATAGTCCAAACTTTTGTGCTGGGCCTGCATTCAGTCCTTGGCTTTATCACTAATCTGCCTTAAAGCATAAGTAGTTTATTTACTAGTAATGACAGAAGGCATTGCACTGAAAACCATTGGATGTTTTGATAGATTTGTTTATACCATAAAACTCATGCGTAAAGCAGTCAGCTTTAACTGTTTTGATCATTTCAGGTACCTCCACCTTTTCACAATGAAAAGGTCCCTTTTTTTTTTTTTTTTTTTTTTTTTTGACAAAACTCATTAGCCTTTCCTCTTAAACACTTTTTTTTTTTTTTTTTTTTTTTTTTTTGTGCACAGTTAAATTTTCATCCAAAAGTTTTAGTTAAAAGCAGGTCTTTTAAAGGACAAATGTGAATGTAAGTCAATTTCACCCCCTCAAAACTATTGCTCATTTCTCTGAAAACCTGTTCTGAATTATAAAATAAAAAAAATGCAATGATTCTCTAATTAGAAAAGCTTTTAATTGCTTTTATAAATAAGACTTAAGGACAATATTAAGTGAAAATTCAATTTACGAATCAAAAACTTAAAATCTTTGTGCAAAATAATTTGTATTAAATAACTTAAAATGTTAATATAAAATATTACATAATGTACCCCCCTTTTTTTTTTCTTTTAAGTATGGTCAACCATACACATCATCAAGAAATAAAAGCAATGGCTATAGTAAATTTAATGTCAACATTACTGAAATTAGGTTAGAGATTATTTTCTAACATTTTTAAGATTACTGAGCATATATATATATGGTGGGGGAGTGCTTGCATCATTTTAAATTGTTTTAAGGCTAAATTCTCTGTAGAACCATCATTATGTAAAATATGGAGATGTTGGTTAAAAAAAAAAAAAAACAGCTATTGTTTTAAAAAAAACTTTTTTTTTTAAGTAATTATACTTTAGTTTTGGAAAAAAAATTTTACGGAGAATTACATTGTGATGAACAACTAAAAAGGTGCTAATCAGCTATTTTAGAAAAAACAAATTGATTCCAGTCAGTATAATTTGTTTGAAATAGTATTTTGCTTACTGGAAATAGTACATTTAATCCTTTTAGCTTTCAAGAAAGCTTTTTCATTTATAAAAATTCATTTTAAACCAAGGTATCAAATTAGTAAAGGCACCTAATTTATTTAATATATGGTGTAATAAGCATGATAAATGTTCAATGACGGATTAAAGGGACAGAATAGAGAAGGGAGTCCCAGCTGTAATGCACAAGTCTATAAATAATGGCATCACCTCTTGTTCTTTTAAACTTTTTTTTTTTTTTTTCTGAAAATTAAAAATTTCGCAAATGAAAATTGTTAGATTTAAGTTGTACAAGACCCAATTGGAAATTACTTACTAATTTATATATTCAGTTATCTCCCTTTTAAGTAAGAACTAAATTGACCAAGAGATAAAACATACACTGGTAAATATGATAAAACCATTTATTTCATGTCAATTTTATCACACAGAAAATAAAATTAATATTCAAAGGGTGTCAGGTACACAGAAACAAGCTTTATAGATCTGATTTGAGAAACTGGCCAAATACAATCACTGCAGAGCTTTTTTTCTTTTTCCTCTTTGACTTCAGTGATATTTGCCATAAAGATTTGTTGCAGTTTAATCTCAGTTATTAATCTGTTCAGTTCATTTATTCAGGGCTTTGTTGCAGGTTATGCTCATCTTGAAATCTACTCTATCATTAAATAGTTGCATTTCTTTCAACTACACCAGACTATCATGTCAAAATCCATTTCAGATTTTTTTTTTCTGGCTTATATCACTACATATAATTACTCTTCATAGAAGGCCCTCAGGCCTTGTGCCTGACTAGGCTGAAGTAAATATCTACTTGTCAGTAAAGTCTAAAACATTTAACTCTGTACCTTAGGTTGATCTATTTGATTGAACTATTCTGAGTTTTACATTAAGCAAGCTCCAAAGAAACAGCTACTGTAATTTAACATGTTTGTCTCAACTATTCAACAGTGCCAAAGTTTTCTTAAAATAGTTTTAGATATACATGATCCTTCTTGACTGATCAAAGGGATCATGTAGATACAGTTCAGACTATACATTAAGAAAAAGGGTTTAATATTTTACTGCTTTATTATTTTTTTTTTAATCATGATAAAAAAAAGTTACAAAGTCTGAATAAATCTGGTACAGCCCCAGATACTTGAGTATAAATAGCCAAAATAAATATTCACAAAGTTAGTTTAAAAATATAAATTTTCATATTTACAATGATTAAAATATATTCAGTTGAAAAAAAATAAACACTCCGTATAAACCAATCTTACATTTTGTAACAGTGTAAAGAATGTCACTTATGCAATATTTTTTTGCTCCATTGAAAATGAAAAATGTTGTTTTAAAAACCAAATTATCAACCCAGACATGTTTGTATATTATATAAAAAAAAAAAAAAATTGAAAATAATCATGTTCTGTGTCACAAGATGACATTTCTAGCAGACTATATTTTAATGTAACAAGTTATAACTTATTTCTATGGTTGAATGAATGATTTAAAAAAAAAAAAAAAAAAACACCATCAGATTTTTACATAACCTTGTTTAAAATTTGCCATACTTATGAGGGAAGAATGCTTTTACTATAAGGGATGGTGTTTGTAAATATAGTGTTGACATTGGCTATATATATATAAACTCACACACCAAGTTTAGGTAGCGATACTTTGTTTTAATTTTTTTTTTCCTAAAACAGACAAGGAATATCTTAAGTCTCTTGATTTCTGATGGAAACTTAATACTGTATGTAACGTTCTGAGTACTTTCAATCATCTTCAAGGAAAGAAGGTAGAAATAGGCAGTGAAATGTTTTCAAATGTCCATTGCAAAATGCTGAAAGATGCTAACTTTCAGCATTTTGCAATGGACATTTGTTGTAGGTTCTATTTAATAAAAAAAAAAAACCCCTGTAGAATGTCTATGAAAAGCAATATGAATAGAAAGTAGTTACTATATCAGCATACTTTAGACTAGGCAATACAGTAGAGATATAGGGTGTGGTGGAAATCTACCCCCCTCCCCATAGTAAGACATTAGCTAGATAAAGGCCTCATTGCCACTACATAATGTAAAATGGGAAGAGAGAGAGAGAAAAAAAAATAGAAGTATAGAGTGTGGAAAGGGCCTGGAGATGCTGACTAGATATGAAGAGACAAGTAGGGAAAGAAAGTCATGAAAATGATATTTAAAATTCTCTATAGGCACTTAGAGGATGCAATAGAAAATTTTTGTGCATTCCTCATTTTATTTACTTTTTTTTTCGTATGAAATTTATCTATTTTTTTTTTTTTTTTTACATAAAAACATGGAGAGGCAACAAATCCTGAAAGGGATAAAAGGAGAGAATGAGAAGATACAAGTGTCAATTTATCATTATTCAGTGGAGATCTTGTACAAACCCAAAAATCTGACCTGTGTGTGTTTTTTTTTTTGGAAGGGCTTCCTGTTAAGACCAACTTTTCAACTTCCCATCATAAGGTAGGGAGTCTCAATAGGAAGCAGATCTTACTTTTTAATTTTCATTGGAGTCCATATATGCAATTTCAATTTGTTTCAAGTTACTTTGAAAATTCCAATTAGAGTATCTCAAAAGTATAATTTCTCATATTCTCACAGTGTACATCAAAAATATGAAATTGATTTTGTTTTAATAATGATAAAACTGGTAAAAGTTTTTTTTAGTCCACTTAATATTTACTATTAAATATACCGATTCTTTAAACAGCTGGATTGAGTTTGAGCATATGGAACACACATTAATTTGTACAATAAACTGATTTATCAACTGAAAAATCTAGCAAGGAAATGTTTTTTTATTTCCTCACTCTCTTAACTTTCAAATAACTCGTGGCAAATTGGTAAGTATCTAAAGCTGGATCGGTTAGGTTCAATGAGATCTCAAGACAAAATATGATTCATCTCTGATGTCCTATACATTCTAACAGATGAAATGGCGGGAAGGAAATGAACAAAAATACTAATCTGGATTTTTCAAGAAAACATTTTTATATTTTTTAAAAAAAAAATCAATCATGAAATGCTTTTCAAACTTAGATTATTTCATTCGTCTAAATTATGTAACAATATTGTCTATGATATATCATCTGATACTTCCCTTACTTGACTGATTGTAGTAATATTTGTTCTCTGATCACACCACGTGGTAAAGAACTATAGTTCAAGATGCAGTATAGTTTGATTGTTTACAAGTTGTTCTGACATCTACTGTAAGGCTCTCAAATAAGTGCTAAGAGTTGGTGCCATAGTCATCATGAGAATATCCAACACTAATATTCACTCAGCTTATCTTAAAATGCTAAAATTTCACTTGTTACAATAGTAATGGTCTGCAAGACTAGCTTGCCATCCACTGGTTTATTGCAAGGCATGTGCCAATATGTACCAAGCTTAGCTTAGTTTAATACAAGGCCAAAGTTGGAGTTCCCAGTGAGGATCAAATTCACTCAGAGTAATGGCCTGCAAGATCTATTTGCTAACCACTATCCCTATACCAAGGCATTAACAATAATACCTAAAATAGCTTACTATTCACTATAATTTTCCAATTGCTTTCTAAGAAAATTTATCGACCTCAAGACTTGTAGCTAAAATAGTAGTTACTTTGCAAAAATCATTTTCAATGATATAATTTTTGTGCAGGTATAGAATGGAAACAAATAGCCAATATCAAAGTGCTCAATTCTGTACAAAAGAGCACAACTAAAACAATCTTTGAGTTTCTAGTTTAATGTCATATAATAAAAATTGCAATATATAAGTACTTGTAATTCCTAGTTGGTAACTTTTTGTTTTCTTTTACTTTCTCCCACTATTCTCCTGACTGCAGGCGTGTAAAATGTGGTGTGGCGCAATTGTAGCTCACTTGTCATAGAAGGTAAACATTCTAAAAAAAAAAAAAAAAATCCGAGGTGACCAAAGCACCATTATAAATCTTAATTTCTCTTCCTTCTTCAGCAAGTTATGAACAAACAAAAATGTATATCTTCCCAAATTATTTTAAAATATTGCTATTTAAGACAGGTGATGATAAAAATAAATACCATTTTACAATGTCCTTCAGATGTTAAGATATAGTGAAATATTGCTTAAATTAAATTTTTCTTATCTCATGAGTTAGTGAGTGGAGAGAGTATTGCTCAGATTAAGTGATTAATCCAAATTGACTTTGGTTCAAACCCCATGGGAGCAGATGGTTGAAATTTCAAGTTTTTTTTTTTTTTTTTTTTTTTTTTATATGTAATCATTATCACATTGAGAATAATTTCTTTCCAGTGTCAGAACAGAGGTGGTTTTTAAAAACAAAAAACATCACAAAATATATAACAAACATGCAATATTCTTATTCTTCGTTGTTTTCTTCTTCTTCTTCTTCCTCCTCCTCCTCCTCATTTTCTTCCTTCTCTTCTTCATGATCATCATCTTCATCACTATCTTCATCCTGGGGCTGCTCACCCACAAGAACAGTAAACAAAACTTCACTGCTCAGACTCTTTTGTAAGGTATCAGGGAGGGGATTTCTGTAGAGATTCACTTCTTCCAAATTTGTCATGTCACGAAGCAGGTCAGTGTCCACACCTAAAATTAAGTCAAAATAATCCTTATGTGAGAAAAATTTGATTTTATTTTAACTTAAAAATTATATATATATCTCAACCTTAGAGTTTTTATTACATTTTGATTATTAATTTTTTTTAAGTCTTCTTCAAATGTTAGAAGTATGTTGTGGTTTTTTAATACTTAATGAGGCCTCTATTTTGACATTAAGGATTATAGTGTTCTTGACTAATTTTTTATTGATTCTTGTAAAAAAAATTAATTCAGATTGTCCCTTATACAAATATACTGGGATCAGAATGATCGTGCAAACTTTGGAGTCACAATCTCTGGTTAAAATAATATATCTTACTGAAATAATGATTGAACTCACTATTTAAACTCTTGAACTGTATTAGAATAGCTGGTTGAGATAAATTTACCTTACCAAACATTACTGTGCACTCAATATGGTAACACTTTGTTCATGAGTGTAAACACTATCTACATTTATCTTTGGCCTTAAAAGGTGAGAGAAAATAAACGTCTCAAGTAGATGTGATGTCAATTTCACAGATTATCTCTAGCTGTCCTGAAGACTTATATTTCATGCTTCTAGCCAGACTTTTATATGATGCATTTCTTACTCTTTGATATGTGCATACATTATAGTCAAGTTTTGTAACACTACAAGTAACCCTAACCACCATCACCACAAAAATGGATTTTAAGCAACTTGCCACTTAAGGTCAAAGATCTCAAGATGAAGAGAACATAACCTGAACAAATTTGTGCATCTGAAACTGAAAAACCAATACACAAAAATGTACAGAGCAAGTAAACAGTTAAAAAAGGTCCATTCACATGTAGAAAAGAAAGAAAAGTTTTTGATTAAGTTAAAGTCATATTGCAATAACATAAGATAATTAGTAATACATGTAACCAAAATGAAAAATCATTAACATTGATGTTTTGCCATTTAACATGATGAGACCAATCACAGTCTGTTCTAGCATTAAATCATTGGAATGTCCATGATATACACATAGCATCCAAAATGACAGGCTTCAGCTTATCCAAAGAGATATTCTGGTCTACATTTTTAACATGGGGATGTTTTTGAGGTTCTTGTTGATGTGCACATGTGAAAAGCTCATCAAATGACAGAAAAGAACCAGAATGTGTGAGTGTCTTCCAACTTTAGTTTTTTGATACTGAATGCAGGTCTTTGTTCAAAGCCAAATATCTGACTTAGTGTATTGCCAAACAATTCTGTCCATGATTAGCAGAATGGAGACATTATCATAAGGATAAAACAAGTTATGAAGTTTGAAGGTAAGTCATAGAAACTCAGAAATGAAAGGACATAAGTTTCAAGAACTAAGAGTTATTCAAGAGAAATGATTGTAGTTGCTGATTCTTTGTTTGCTCTTCAACAAATTCCATACTAGGATCCAAAAGAAGATCATTAATGCACCAAGACAGTGGCAGCAGAAAGGTTGTCCACTCCATTAATAAAATGGATATCTGAGGTAACCCAGATAAGATAATCCAAATATTATCTCTCCTGCAAGGAGTATTTGTCCAAAATTGACTAGAATGTATCCAGAAAACTGACTAGAATGATCTGTCACAATGTGGAATGTGTGCCCTGTCCACAAATTGGTAAAAATACTATACTGCACAATAAACTAATAGTATTTGAAGGTAATGTATCTGCCCTCTAGGTAACAATTCTTTAGAGAAGAAAAAAAATGGTTTCCACTGGTTGTCAGTCTTTTGCTTCAAAACAGCATTCATGCCAATGGAAAAAGCATCAACTGGCAAAAACAATTCTTTTCCTGACTCAGTATGGGGGGGGGGCAATTTTACTGTATGAAACAAAACTGATTTAATTTTATGAAAAGCTGCTAGGGAAGTCCCTTTCCCACCACTGTAACATAGCTTCCCTGTGCCTTTTCTATAAATATTTTCATGGTAATTGTTCTGGTGAACTTTTCTCTATGGTACATAGACTTTATGAACTTAAGCACAGTACTAGATTGGCAGGATTCTATGCTAATAATTTCTCTCGCACTTCTCGCTTGTTGAACTCTCTTCTAGGACTTTAAGTTTAAATGCATTATCTTCTATCTTCTTAAATCCTGTTTTTTCTTTATTGTTCCTGTTCCTTAATAGTACAGGTTGGTGCTGATAACCCGTGGTAGTTGGGGTCCAAAACTTCTATCTGTGGTTTAGATCAAAAGTGAGCTGCGACGTCAGGATTGCCAGCTTAGACCACCAAAACAAAGCTTGTTAAGTCCATGGAGTTATCCGCGAAAATGGGTAACATGGCTAAGTATGCAAAATGCATATTCAATACTAAGAGTTGAATATTGGCAATTTTAAAAAACATTTATTAAAACTATCCTTTAATTTCACATAAAAATCTGCATCAATGTGAATAAGTTTGAAAGATGACGACCTAAAATAATTCCAATTATAAAACGCCATGTCAATAGATCAATCATCAATGACAGCAAAAAATGGCAGAAATCGATTTTAGCTCTGTCGTTCTCAGCTCACTTCCAATGACTGATTACTGAAGTAACTACCTTGATCTCAAGTCTAACCTACGCATGTTATGATTTTGATCTTAGGTTGACAAGATCAATCAGGCACCAGGGCTGTAATGCAAGGTGAGTCTAAACTGGAGGTGACGTTGCACAAGCAAAAAGAAATGAATGAAAACCAAAAAGATTTGGGTATGTTTAAAGAAAGCAAATCAACTTTTGTCAGTTTGTTCTATACAGGAGTGTGTTTTTTTCCCCAACTGGTTTCTTCTAGGCAAATTCTGGTCTGCTAAGTCAACTGGTTTAGTTTTTAAGTGCTGGCTTAGCCTCGTTTGTCAGTATAACTTACTGTTTGTAGGAAGGCAAAGTTGGAGGCAGGAATCTTGGAATCTGTCAGCTCTCTCCAACTTCAAAACATGGACTCCTGCGTGCAAACTGCCTGAGGGCACTCGCTTATATGAAGCTCAACCAAAAACCGGTGTGGGGTTAGACGCAGCCTGGGGTTTTCGGTGAATCCCCGATTTCCAACAAGGGTCTCATCCCATTTTTGGAAAATTAATTACTTCCTATTTTTGGGGGATCGCTTCATCCGGGAGGAGCGGTTGCAGGATAGCTATCCTCCTAAACTTCCTCCTCCTCACATTAGTACCTCACACCAATTCCTTTCAGTGAGCATTAGTAACTTCTCCATCTTTCTTACTATTTTACCTCTGCCTATCACCACTGCTACCACATGACCAATGGCATCTCGGTCGTGGTGTTTGTTTTGTTAATTAACTCTTTGACACCATTGCTTATTCAGGATTTCTTATCCATGCAGTTTTAGAATTATCAACTGGAACTTTGTTTACGCAATTCCTCTTTTTCCCTACCAAAATTCTTACAATTAGCACATGGCTCTATTGCCTGGCCAGTTCCTAATATCTATACATTCTCAAATGATATCTTTTTCACTTCTGGTTAATTTGTGTTTTCTTAACCAGCACTTTTAACGGACATCATTAATCAATTGTCAGAGGCCACCACATTGCCTTTTTGCGAAATTATCGTTGACACATTTCTTCAGTTTCTTGAGAAAAGTAGACTTTTTTGGAAAATAAAATCTTTTTATGTCGAACGGTATATCCCTTGGGATAATTTTTAACCCTTCTTTTCCGTTTTCCACATTTTCCTGTTCAATTTTTATGGTTAATTAATTAATTACCATAGCTAAATAGCATCACAGTAATATGAAACAATATTTTTAATAAATTTACATGTACATAATGGAAAATAAAAATAAAGTTTGTAATAACACTTTCTTTAAGAAAGTCAGTAATGGAGCATTGCTTCTTCTTTTCTCTCTTCTTGGCATTTTTGAGCATAGTATGTAGTCGTAAAACCTTTACTGAATCACTGACACTCTCATAAAATTCCAGGCTAAACAATAGTAAATGCCTGGAAAAATACGGATATAATGAAGGTATTAAAACTCAATGAATTTATTAAGATAAAAGATTATACAGAACAAAAATCAGACTTTAAAAAGTGTCACAATCAAGTTTGAATTTATTTCAAATTAGGATCCACTGATGATTATGATTCTAATATGAACATGACAAAAAATTCTGGGGTCCATCATGCAATTTGCAGCTTAAGCAACATCGGAGTTTATTGGGGCGCGGTTTAATGGCACTGACCTGTATTTTTTCTCCTATTCTCTCACACTCAGTAACCCATTGTTTTAGTGGCTTTATTGCCTTGTCTGGAGTGAAATGATTAAAAATATAAATTTTTAATTAATAAGAATTAACATCATTTTCTCATAGTGAGAAATAGAAAATTAGAAATAGCTGTTACTTTTGAAGAAGGAGAAATACCAGCTGAATTAATATATCGTAAAAAAAAAAAAAATTTACCAAATACACATTTATTTGGGGGTGATAACTTCAATTTTTTTAAAATCCTCTAAAATGAGCTGCATCTGTTACACATGTTCTTCCAATAGGGAACATGTTATAAGAACAGCATCTATATAAGCATAAGCAAAATGTAAATCATGCAACACATGGTTAATGAAGATCTAGATCCAACCATCCAGGAAACTTAAATTTCTAACCAAACTGTTGTTACACTTTTTTTAGCTTTAGATATATGCATAAATGAGTCAAAGTTAAGTTTTGTATTGTAACCAAATAAAAGGAACCAAGAATTTCAACTGAACCTTTCATAATACTGAATTGTTTAACTAAAGTATTTCTGATTAATCTGTTTTCTATACCAACCTATGATTAAATGTTCTGTTATAATTACACATTAAAACTACATAGGAACAGCAATAAGTCCACAGTTTAATGATAAAATGCATTTCTTTTACACAACAAATATTTATTTTTCAACATAATGCAATGTGTTAGTTCCAATCTAGACTATGAATGACTGCAAAACACTTTCTTCTCCCCATTTTATAGGCAAAAGCAAACAAATGCATGCTGGGATTTCTTCCTAGCCAATAAAACAGGCCAGTCCTCAGTTTCATATGACTCAGTCCCGGTCTGTCTTGCCTTGATGTCAGAACACTACGTTCGCTTATCCAAACTTGCTCTTGTGTGTCAACCCCAATTCTTTGTGAACTTTTTGCTATATTACTGTTGCTTTACTTTTTTACTGTTAATCTGCCTTGCATATATCATTTGCTTACTTTATATTAATTTTTGCCCTGTCCTTTTCTTTGTTGTTTATTGCAAACTTTATCAATTCTGCTTGCTGGACACTCCTGCCATTCATTTACATTTAACAATGGTCACTCACTCTTCTCCAATTACATATATTGAAATATTTTACAGTAAAACCTAATACTAGGTGTGTGTGTGTGTGGGGGGGTCTTAATTAGATGGAGGTGATCAGGATTTTTATCACTATGCAATATTAAGGGTGCCTTAATAAAAGAGTAGAGTAATGGATAGTGGCTTGAACTGAGGAATCAGTAGAGCCGAGTTCAAATTCCAGTCGAATCCATTACATTCACTTACATGCTAATACCCTTGGTAAAGGTATGAATCCTCTTCTTCTCTCCCTGGCTATGGATAAATAGCAGGACAGACTGGGTTCTATAGCCTTGGATGGTAAACTGGTCTACTGCAGTAAGAAATGGCAACCTATTGTGGGAAAAAATCTACATTGTCAGTTATGTATCGAAAGATACATGATTGCCTAAGTGGGTATCACACATGGCACAAAACTGACTAATAAAAGAAAGAAGCCAGAAAATCATTTAATGGTTGAAAAAGTACAAAATTAATAAATAAATAGAGTGGTCTTAAGCTTGGTGAGGTGAGAAAATTTCCTAAAAAAAATAAAAAAATGTGCCTTCACATTTAAGGCACTGAAGTGTACTATTATATTTGTAAAAAAAAAAAAAAAAAAGAGAATATTAAAAGAAAACTCAGTCACAATTGATTAATTAGAAAAAAGATTAGTTGATTCTAAAAATAGACCTTTAAAGAAAAATTTAAAAAGACAATAATAGTTTAAGCCCAGTGGGGTTAGGAAGATTGTGTTGCACCAATCTTTCAAGTTGGGAGGGTCTGTTTGTCAGCATTCAAACTTTTTTCTTTATCTCTGCTCAAACACCAACCATTGGTACCAATAGAAAATATGTAACTATCTCACCAACCAATAAAAGCTGCAAACACTTTATAATTGTCATTAATTAAAATTCTCTTTTCTCATAAAAATTAAAATTTATTAAAGGTTTTAAAAATGGAATATTTTAATGCATTTATGTTACAGGTCAAAATAACCTTCAATATAGAACAATATTAAAATTTATAATACAATTATTTTTACAGTAATAATAAAAAACATCTTTCAAATACAAGATATAAAAGAAGAAAATAAAAAAAAACTTTAAAGATTCTTTTCTTACTTGTTATGGAGTTGTTTTCAGCATTCAGGAATTTGAGTTTTGAAAATTTGTAAGTGACATTTGGTAGTCGAGTAAAATTATTATAGGAGATGTCCAGCATCTCTAGACTTGTAAGCTCCTTTAGCTCATCAGGCAAATTACTGAATTTGTTTCTTTGTAAACATAATTCTGAAAAAAAAAAAAAAAAAAAAAAAAAAAACTGAGAAAGGGGGGTAAAAGCAGCAGATAAAATTAAGACATTAAAACCAAAAACAAAATGGTTGATGAGTTATTTACATTCAGGCTATTGTCCTTGTCTTAGTTGCTATTATCACTGTGTTTTGGCTTATGTTCTTTGGCTTTTTTTAAGTGTCTGTCATTTCATGTAACCTTCAAAGAATTTGAAACTGAACCCATTATTCAATTTATGAGAGTGGATTGTTCTCATTTTGCTACTCATATCTAGGGATATCTCATCTTGTTCTTTTTAGTACTGTAGCAATATCAGCCAGCCGAGGTCTTGTTAATTTGAAAATAGCTGGACCTGTCACAAAAATGGATGCAGATCATTTATTTTCCACTGATGGTTATCAGTATCCTTCACAACACTGAATGAAGATAAATTGCTTTTTTGACAAAGATGACAGGACAAAAAACTATGCTAGCTATAAAATTGACCAGTACCCAAAAAGACAGAGAGAGAGGAGGCAGGCCTTGGGGAACGACAGACAAGGAAGACACCTGCTAAACTGTTCACATCACCCCTCACCTACACCTCATCTCAACTTCAAATTACAATAGGTTACAAACCCAAGAATAAAATCTGGTTTACTGCTAGCAATTATTTTATTTTTCATTTGTGGGTAATGATCTGGTCGAAGGTAATTTTAAAGCCACAAGCATTTGACTGGAAGAAGCCGCACCATGTCAACAAACCTGGTGTCTGGTCCAAGCTGCAATGCAACAGTACTACTTGGTAATTGCTAGCTCTCTTTTCCACTCAGTCTAAGTTTATACTACCTGGATTGAACTCATAATTACTATGTCACCAAATTCATGAACCAAAACTTTCATCCATTAGATTATATGGGTTATATAATAGAATGGCCTAGTGGATTAAAGGATTTATTTGTGAATTGGGTGACATAGTAATTGCGAGTTCAATCCTTGGGTCAGACTTACACTATAAATAATAAGCAATAACTAAGCAGTACTAAATAAGAAAAAGATGAGATTCCTCTAGACATGGACAGCAAAACAACTCTCCACCATAGAGTAAACAAAAGGTTCAGTTTTAAATTTCTTGAAGGTTATCCAAATTGGCAGATACCTGAAGAAGGCCAGACAGCGCAACAACCAGAAACAGTGTGATAGCAACAACAAAAATGAGGAATATAGTTTGAATGTAAATAATGATAATTCCTCATCCAGAAATTCAAACAAATAAGAGTCAATTTTTATTTTTGATGAGTGCTTTTTTTTCATCTCAATTTCAGTTACTTTTTATTGTATACTCTCAGACGGTCCTACAGTAAACAATATCAATCAGAAAAAAAAATAAACCTCTGTTTTTTTATTGGAAATTAATTGTTGAGATAAAAAGCAACTGAAATTAAATAAATACTAGTCAAGCATTATTAACTGTCAATGCTTCATCTAATAATGGTACAGCAATTGATGCACTCAGACAGGCTTTCTGAGGAGAGAAGGGGATGAGTTCAAATCTCATCAGGAACTTGATCTGCATTTCTGATCTACACTACTTACTAACAGTCTGTGAAGTTGTAATAAAAAGTAACTAAAAAAATACTCAACAAGCATTTCTAAAATAGAATAAAACAAGAGGTACACCTAAAAAAAAAAAAAAAAATTTAATACTGTGTCCTTGTTCAGCAATGAAAGCCACACCATAATTAAATGTACATTTGTATGACATGCATCTTGCCAACATGTTAATGTATTCTGATTCTTTCAATTTTCTCATCTAACATTTGAACTTCATCATAGCAAATCATAATTTGAAAAGAGAAAGGTATACAGTAACCTTTTGGGAAAAAAATTCAAATAAGAGAACACCACTAGAAAATGAATAAAATTGAAAGAATTATCTCAATGCATGTCAGACCAATATAGAATTCAATGTGGTTTGGCTCAACAGGAACATGGTATCAAACGTTTTACTTAAAGAAAGCAATTAAGGACATTTTTATATATGAATTATAGAAAAACCTATATTACAGGCATTGTGTGAATGTCATGAATTTTCTGTTTGCTACAGTTGTACTATTGAGGAAAGAGACCCACTTTTTTTTTTCCATATAATATCGTTGCAGAAAGCTGTAGAATGGATTGGATGGAATATAAGAACAACAAAAAGAATGAGTTTAATTTTCTTAATAAATCATGGAAGACTTGGTTTTTTTTTTCATTCTTTTTATAACTTATGTACCATAGAAATACAATACAAATGATTTACTATAGAAAGATATCAGAGTGAACATTATGTCAAAACTAATGAAAACTTTACTTTTACAACTACTCTATTTTAAAATATATTTGGGATTTAGGTCAACCATGTGTAATAACTAACAAAGCCAAGGTATGTTTTTTCTAAAACTGCTATTAAATGTGAGGTTAAATATACTACCTCTTATATATTCTTGATATAAAAAAAAGATAAGAAAATTGTACTATAAACTGTTTACTAAAGAAATATTATTTACTATAGAAATTCACTGAAAATAATCAACTAATAATTATTTACTATTAAGTAGGATGAGTGTGTATAGCATAGTGGTTATTGGAGCGAAAAGTGAAATTGACATACTGAGTTCCAATTCCAGTCAAGGTCATTACGTTCACTTTTGTGCAAATAACCTTGGATATGTATGAATACACCTCTTCTCTCCTTCAGCTTAGGGTTAATAGCAGGGTAGACTGATCATTCTAGCTTTGGTTGGTAACTAATCTAGAAGAAGGAAAACTGAATTCATAACCTATTGGACATGAGACTATCAGCGCCACCTAGTAAAACCTACTTGATACAGAAATCACAACAGCAACATCTAGTGTGGTGCAGCTTTGACCCTATACTCTACTGGGGATGACAGGGTTAACATACACACATACATAAATCATAATTAGCTACAGAAATTGAGTTGGTAACAATTAGTCAAAGAAATAAAAAAAAAAAAAATTACTAATATATATATTAGAACCATGAATAAGTTCTCACTGTTTTCCAACAGATGGTGTTCCCAGAATTGCGTACGTGTAGTTTCAGATGGTAACGCATCTATAAGGAAGTACTATAAGCAAGCTTATATCTAAATCCAGTGTATATCATTTTGCCAAAGTGTAAACAACTTTGTTTTTCATGGTATTAAACAGGTCGGATTTCATGTCAAAGAAAGTGTATTTGTGGGGAATTTTACTGCACTACTTTATTCAAAAGAAACCTGCATCTGAAGCACACAGAATTCTTGTTGAGACTTACGACGAACATGCTGTTGGAAACAATATACAGAGATTGATATAGACATTCAAAAATAATGATTTTGATGTTGAAGATAAAGAACACTGACACACCAAAAAAGTTTGAAAATGAGGAATTGGAGGCATTACTTCATGAAGACTCATGTCAAACGCAAACTGAACTTGCAGAATCATTAGGAGTTGATCACACAACAGTTTTGGGACATTTGAACAGCTGCTTCAACAGCAGAAAAGGAACGTTTTTTTTTTTTTGCATCATATCATGACTGGCAATGAAAAGTGGATACACTATAATAGCCCTAAGTGTAGAAGATGATGGGGTAAGCCCAGCCATGCATCAACATCAGTGGCAAAGCTGAATATCCATAGTTTAAAGCTTCTGCTCGGCATTTGGTGGGATCAACTGGGTATAGTTTATTACGAGCTGCTTCCTGTATGAATGCTTCCCTGAATACTACATTCTTAGCCTCTTCAACTCAAGGGTTAATCGTTAGCAATTCTTATCTTTATAATCTTCACTTCCTACCACTTCATCTTTCATACATATCTCACATCTCATTCATTATTTCTATTTTGATTGTAAGCCTCCACCTTGAGTGGCTCTCGAACCTTATGTTGAATACTAAATAAAAATTTAAATAAACACCACTTTAAACTTTGGGAATTAGTAAATTTTGAGTAATTTGTAAAACGTGTTGCAGTTAGTGAGGTTGGTAATGTCCACTTCAAATAAAACAAGAAAAATCATAGCACTGTCACCCTCACTATCATCATTTATTCCTGAAATGGTTCCTTTTATCAATACACCTGTCTCTTTTTTTCACCTTCATTAACGCTCGTTTCTTATTTTATCAAGTACAAAAGCAACTAAACTGAAAACAGATTACCATTTTGGCATTTAGTAAACTTAACTTCATCTGACAAAGGTCAAATCAGCAAAGCAGCAAATGAGAAAAACTTATGGCAGACATCAATAATAGTTTGGTAGACTAGCTTACTAAACACTGCTCCATGGCAAAGCAAATAAAATATTATTTTTAATTCCCAAACAGTAATGACAGATGTAGTGATATATTCAGGTTAAAATACTATAGTAGATAATTTATTATTACTATTTCTCATAAGTGTTTTTCTCTCCACACTTTGTCTATCTACTTTTGCCTGTCTCTCTACATACTTATCTCTAGCTCTCTATTTTTCACTCTCTTTACACACTTGTCTCACTTTTTCAACTTTTGTACACATCTCCCTATTTTGCTTCCTTCTTTGAAAACACAAGATTAAATGTTATTAGTGATAAAAAAAAAAAACAACTTTTAGAATCATTTTTGTCAAGTGATTTAGCTTTCTGATTATCTTTTAAATTAGGAGTATTTACAGCAGAGTATTGATGACACAATAAATGTTTCGATTTTGTGTACAAAAAATAAATTCTGGTGATCTTGGTTTGGTTTGTTTCATGGTTATTTAATGGGTTATTTAATGCCAACAAAATTTTTATTGCTGTTAATATTTTTTCTTAAAAACTGTATTGCTGGTAAAAAAATTTTCCTCAAAAATTCATTGCTAGTAATAGTTTTTTTACAAAAATGTATTGCTGGTACTAAAACCTATTTTTATACTTTCACAGTGTTTTGACCCCAGTTTGGGGTTAATTATTTGCCCATAGCAGAGACCCTAACAGGTGCTACCACCCCGGGTCAGGGTGGACCTGGGAACACCAGCAATTAAGAGGTGGTTCCATGCTCCTCAAATCCTCCTGATCAGAGGACTTGCTGTCAGATGTAGTTTTATCATCATACCCAGAATGCTCTGGTGATCTTGAGTCAGCTAACAAAATTATTTTCCCTCCAAATCCACTCTTTAATTATTGTAACTATGTCAGCAGTAGTTTGACAGGTGCAGTTCCTTGTCCAAAGATAAGTTGGAACTCTATAAAACAGATTCGAAGATTGAATCTGTTTTGTAGAGTTCCAACTCAAGGGAAACATGAAAGTACAAATTTGGCTATCAGTTCATTGCCTTTCCTGAAGTTGAATACAGGATAGAAGTATGCTTTCTGACAAAATATTCAGAGAAAAAGAGAAACAAATAGACATTCTATGAGGAAATAAACATTTCAGAAGATATCCTACAAATACCCTGATGTTACTGAACTGGCAAAAAAAAAAAAAAAAAAAGCTTTGTTCACTTTAGAAAGGCAAAAATGTAACTCAAATGCAAAGAAAAAATATATTTAAATTAAAAAAAAAAAGATTTCTATAGTTTATAGAGAAGGTACTGTGAAAAACTGAACACGCCAAAAATGGTTTGTGAAGTCTCATTTTGATGAGTTTTCTCTTAAAGATGCTCCATGGCTGGTTAGACCAGCTGAGATTGATAGCAACTGAATCAAAACATTATTTGCACAAGATGACTAACATACTCAAAATATCCAAGTATTTAAAATCATTTTCATCGACTTGGTTACATTAGTTGTTTTGATGCATGGCTTCCAAAATGTTAAATGAAAACAACCAGCTGGAATATATTTAATTGTTCCATTTTTTAAACAGATTATGGCCAGTGATGAAAAGTGGATGGAATGCAAAAGAATGTGGCACAAGGGAAATTAACCATCATTAATTATACCAAAAGTGGTCTTCATATAAAAAAAAAATAAAATAAAATAAAATGATGCTACATTAGATAAGACGGTTATGGGTTCCTTCCAAACAAGCAAACAATTGAGGAGTCAAACAGTTACTGCTCCTAATTCAACAATTTGAAAGAAGCAAACAATGCAAAGTGTCCAAAATTAGTTTTAAAAAAATTAATAAATAAATAGGCATAATATTCCATTAAGATAACACTAGACTGCATGTTTGCTTTTTTTGAGCAGTGACAAGTCTAAAATTGCTGGAGCTTAATGTGAAATTTTTAATCCAGCCAAAAAGCCTTAAAAAAATAAATAGATAAAATTCTGTTTAGTCCTTTGGTCCAATTTTAGAAGGGGGTTAGGCCAAGAAATTTTCACATTTGTTGATATTACAGATTTTGTATATAATGATTCAACGGCATTCATTTCACAGTTATGAAAACTATATATGCCAAAGTAACCTTAAAATTAACAAGAGAATATATGAATCTAATTCACCTGAAAATTGATCAGTTACTTTTGCATATATTAACTTGAGGTTAATATTTTTTATAGTAAATGAGTGCAAATGCTGTAATGGAACTGATTTCATTTAGATTATAATTTTTAACTTACTTTGAATATTTTAATATCAAAGATGAGTCAACTGATATTTAATCAAAAACATGTTCAAATCAAAGCTAAACCTGGAAATACTATCAACATTTTATTAAGTGTACAAATGATCAAAACTATCTACAGTGTTTTAAAGACTGAGCAACCTCACAATAAAAATGTGAGGAAATTTATGCCCAACTGAAGTGATTTCCATTGTTCATCAATTAAACTACTTCTCCTATGTCACAGCTGCAAAGAAAAAGTCAATACTCTCAGACAAGATGGAAAGAATCATTTTTGCAAACACTTACTTTTTGTCTCCAAACAGTCAAATAATTATCCCTTTGTTAATCAGAAAAGCAGAAACAAAAATATCCAAACAATGAAAACACAAAGCTAAAAGCAAAATAGCTTCTTTTTACTCCAACCACCATCTTAGAAGGTATATATGAAATAAAAAGCTAATGAATCATGAAGTGAGAAAATTCTTAATGTCAAATAAAAATTTTACTAAAATTGTGACATTACTACACATCCCTGTTGAAAAAACACCAGTTGTGCAGTCATTGGTCAATATTTGTTACCTGATAGTTGAGGGAAAATAACAGCAAATTTGGTTGGCAGTCGAGGAATTGCATTGTTGGTTAAATTGATAGATTCTACACCAACATTCTTCATGAGAAAGTAGACAGCCTCTGGGACTTGAATCAGCTTACAATCTGATAAGTCTGAAATAATCATGAAAAAGAAACAAAAATTATTAACAAGTAAAACATATACAATATATACTGTAGTTTAATTCTTTCTTTCTTTTTTTTCTGTTGTTGTTCACCCAATTCAAAGCAAAGCCCAAAAGCCACTCAAAGTAAAGAGTTAAGGAATAAAGTTGCAGTATGTAGATAATGGGTGACCCTAGACTTGAAGAGATTAAGATTGGAGTGATCAGGAAAGCGACCTAATGGAATACAAAAGGAATTAGGATAATTTGACCCTGTGAACATGGCATAGTCGGTGTAAGCTATTATGTATATATGTTCTATCCATACATGAGTGTGTGTATATATATATATATATATATATATATATATATATATACACACATGCCGTTGTGACATTCGCCGAGCTGGATCTGTTTGATGTTCGATTCCTGCGGCTGACCATTGAATGGATCACTTTGATCCAAGCCTTGCCCCACATATTTAATTTAGATCACAAGCCTGGCGAGGATCAAATTATTGACAGGAATCATTGAATTGGTCTGGTCCAGACAAAGTGAAGCCACAAGTGATAGGATAAATCGTAATAAAGAAAATGTTTTATATACTATTTCTTGTACAGAGCTGATGGTACAATATCAGTTCTTTCGGTAGAAATATATGTTCTTCATGTCGGAATATATTTGTCATGAAAAGTTATTCAACCCTTTCCTTCTTCAAATATTTTGTGACACTTTGCTGTGACTAAGTCTAGACAAGGGTTCTGGAACACAGTGCAAAGTCAGATGTCTTCTTCAGCAGCAGGAAGTCATGTGAGTTCAGTGAAGCGACTATCTCTCACCTGGTGGCTTCTCTCTCTAGTTGTCACTTCAATCTTTTGTTTATATGGACTTTCATTCAAAACTGGCATAAGGTCTGATGTGGTTTGGGATTTCAGTGATTCCCCTAATTTCCACAGAGTTCTTTGTTTGACTCTGGGAAATTCCTTCTCATATTGGTGCCTTATACCAATACTGCCCAAGGGGTGTAAGCAATTCCTCCACCTCCCTTGGTGTTCTACCTAAGCCTTTTACTTCTATGGTCACCTGACCAATCTGATTTCTAGACTGCGTGGCTTAGTTCCAATTATTAATTTTAATTAACGTTGAAAATTTTCATCAACAGAATTCCTTGACCCCTTCTGCCTTCCCAATCAGACACTCACCAGCTGTTCCCATGGCAGCTTCTTCTTGTCACACCTTGAACCTTATCTAAAGAAATTTCACTGCTTCAGTGATTCACACCTTCTCTTACCTGCTTTTTTTGACAAGAGATTTAAAAAAAAAAAAAAAACAAACAAATTCTCCAATTTTGCATTTGTTTCCAAAAAAACCCTGAATATCACCTAACCAACTTTCCTTAGTGGGTTATGGCAAGGAAAGAAAAACAATTCTTTAACTAAGTCTTTGTTTCCAGAACACCTTAATTTTTATCTCAACCAAATTTTCCCTGCCTGGTTTTGGCCAGCAGATAATTCCATGAACTGGATTTTAAACAGTGTCGCCATTTCATAGTTACTTGTCAACTTCAGCCATATGAGAAGAGATTTCTGTCTTTCACCTCTGCTTTTATCCAAGGAAGACTAAAAAAAAACAAAAAAAAAAAAAAAAAAAAAAAAAAACTCTGAATTTACTAAAAACTGGTCTTGATTCTCAGTATGTTTATGGATTTATTTTTCAACCATCAAAGTGTCACATATACATACATACGTACGTATATGTGTGTTGTCTCTACATACACACACATGTGTGTGTATATATATATATATATATATATATATATATATATATATATATATATATATATATATATATAGCTGACACTTCGCATTCGAGGGCAACTAGCCAATCCCAAGTGCAGACACTCATTTAGGCACATTTGTGCTTGCTCAACACCCACAAAGCCCACCTGTGGTTTATACTGCAATTATGCTAAGTAGGCCTTAGTTACAGTTTCTGGGAGAGAGCTTTTGAATTTGCACTCTCACACTCGCCACAATGACTTGTGGATTTGTTCCATATATATATATATATATATATATATATATATATATATATATATATATATATATATAGAATGGCCTAGAAGAATGGACCTGTATGCCAATAGATAACCTGATGGAGATACTGACTTTCTGTACAAACAACACACTTCAGAATGGGATCAGACATAAATTGACAGGATGAAGGATCAGCAATGGCAAATATATACATGGAATACTTCAAAGAAATGGAAAACCCTATCACTGAGATATGTATATGACACGCTCGTACTCTAACCACACTAAGAAGAAGATCATCAATACAGTTCACAATGGAGAGAGGAAACGACAACAAACTCACATTCCTAGATGTACCAATGCCTCAAACAGGGCATGGGTTCATGTTATGGTGAAACACACCTATTCTATAGTTAATAGACTCTCCCACCTAATATAAGTAGGAGTAGTAATGGTAACTTACCTTGTTGGTAAGAGAAACGAAGGTCAGTCAATGTTGGACGGCAGTGGTCAACAGTTAGTCGAATACGAAAGTAATCAGCGACTACAACAAGATTACTCTGCGTAATACCTATTGTATCAAGTTCCTAACGTTTTGTACGTCAAACTATTTAGAAGCAATTTAGTACAAATACAAGCCTCCGCTGCAAAATAACTCCGCAAAAACTTTGGCAACGAGGATTCGCACTCATACAGAGGAAGAAAAAATTCGCTTGCCACAATAACTTCGGCGACAAAGTCTCGGATTCACACTTAAAAAAAAAAAATCTTGGCAAAGTTTTTCACAAGCCAAGACGTCAACTTAGTGACGAAAAAATCTGTCATATTCTCAACTGAGAAAACAAATTCCCCCACCTGATAATACAGTTTGCTCAAATAGGTCATGAATTGCAAATTCGTAGGACACCCCCCCCCACCTCTACAGTATTTAGGCACTGTGTAAACTTTTTGCAAAAATGGAGGAATGCAAAAATATATTCCGGGAATTCCAGTTGGAACAACAGATGACAACAAAAAACATTCCAGATGCAGCTACAGGAAAAAAACTTTCAATAGACAAATGCAATTCCAACAAAAAAAATGGAACAGATGCATAGGGAGTTTCAAAACAAAATTCTGGAGATAATTGAGAAGAGGAAAGAGAAAAATCTACAAAATGATTCTTTCCCAGAGAATACAATATGGAATTCAATTGAAATATTCACATACAGTCCAGATGAAGAGATAACTTTTGAAGAGTATTATAAAAAATATACGGATATGTATAATGAGGACTGCCACTTGTGGTCTGAAGGAAAGAAGGTTAGGCTTCTTTTAAGCAAATTAGGAACTGCTGAGCATAACAAATTGGTAAACTACATTTTACTGAAAAAAACTAGCAAGTTGACATTTACCAAGGCAGTAAATATATTAAGTGAATTATTTAGTAAAAAGACATCTGTTTCACAAGAGGTGGAAATGTTTGAATCTGATGAAAGATGACGAACAAGACTATATAACATACGCAGCCAATGTGAATAAGCATTGTGAAGAATTCAAGCTGGCAGAGTTAAGCACAGACAATTTTAAGTGCTTGGTGTTTGTTTAGGGGCTGGTATTGGAAAGAGACACAGAGTTGAGAAAATTAGTACTGGCAAAATTGGAAAGCGATCCAAGTATTACGGTGCAGAAATTGGCAGAAGACTGCACAAGATATGTTAGCGTAAAAAAAGATTCAAAAAAGATAAAACAGTCTGGCGTTTTGCATGTAAGGAAAATACGCTACAAAGAAGAATGTCTACCAAAAAGAATTCTAAAATTGGGGATTATCAAGCAAAAAGTGAAATACCAGAGAAAAATAAACAAAAACTCCCAAAGCCATGTTTTGCTTGCAGTGAACAACACTGGTACAGATATTGCAATTTTAGGAATAAAAAATGTTTCAACTGTAAAAGAGTGGGTCATAAAAGCTTGCACTGCAGGTCAAAAAATAAAGACAACAAAATAAGAAAATTAAAGTCCAACGAGGTAAAAGATGGAATAACCAGAAAATTTGTTACCATCGAAATAAGTAATAAAAATATAAAAATGCAACTTGACACTGGCTCAGATCTTTCTATCATAAATTTGCATATGTGGAAGAAGTTGGAGAAACCAACTTTAATGAAGACAAAGAAAATCGCAAGGTCAGTGATAGGAGAAAAAAATACAATTTATTGGAGAATTTGTTACAAACATCACATTAAATAAAAAAAAACGTGAAAAGCTAAACTATTTGTCATAGAAAATACTACAAACTTACTTGGTACAAATTGGATAACAGAATTCCAATTATGGGATCTACTGATAAATTCCTTCTGTTACAAGGTAGAAAGTTTAAACACCGAAGCCCAAAAATTAATAAAGAAACTTAAGGAAACATTTCCTACTGTTTTTCTCCAGGGTTGGGAACGTGTAGCAAGATGGAGGCAAAATTCCAGTTAAAAGAAAACACTCAGGCGGTATTCAAAAAGAAAAGGAATGTGCCATTTGCCTCAATTGAACAGAGAGATAAAGAATTAGACAGATTAGAGAAAACCGGTGTACTTAAAAAAGTCGAGTATAGTGAATGGGCAACACCGACGGTATATGTGAAAAAAAAGTCTAAAGAAATTCGTGTTTGTGCTGATTTCTCCACGGGTTTAAACGCGGCACTCAAAGACTATAATTATCCTCTACCAACAGCGGAAGAAATATTTGTGAAGCTTAATGGAGGCACAATATTTTCGAAGATAGACCTCAGCAACAGATATCTGCAAATACCGGTAGAAAAAGAAATGTCAAAACTTTTGTGTATAAACACACATCGGGGTCTGTATAAATTTAACAGACTACCTTTTGGGATTAAGGTTGCGCCCGCCATTTTCCAACAAGTAATGGATTTGATGTTGAGTGGTCTAGATTTTGCTGTAGCGTATCTGGACGACATCCTCATGAGAAGTACAAGTATAGCAGA